GCAAAACCCGGTAAAAAGTATCCTCCAACGCCTAGGAAGGAGAGAAGCTGTTGTTTAGTGGATGGGGTTGGGGTTTGGTAAATTAACGGGATATCATTGGCAGGGAGAGCGCGTGTATGCTGGTGAGGGATTATTACAGATGGGGAAGAAATTTGGGCTTTCGACAAAAGCGTTTTTGAGGTCAAGAACAGAATAGAGAATTGTGGAAGGGGGTGCGCAAGACAGGAGGGTATAGGGGTTTGGTACAAGCGCGTGGATGAAAATACAATCTGACTGATGAGGCAGAGATCCTGGCCTAGCCTGTAGAATTTGTCTGGTTTTTGGACAGCTAGGATAGGGAGCTTGTAAGGAGAGTTCATAGGAATTAAAAACCATGTTGCAGTAATCGAGTAATAACAGGCTTTTGGCCTTTTTTTTTTTTTTTTTTTTTTGAGACAGAGTGTCGCTCTTGTTACCCAGGCTGGAGTGCAATGGCGCGATCTCGGCTCACCGCAACCTCCGCCTCCTGGGTTCAGGCAATTCTCCTGCCTCAGCCTCCTGAGTAGCTGGGATTACAGGCACACGCAACCATGCCCAGCTAATTTTTTTTTGTATTTTTAGTAGGGACGGGGTTTCACCACGTTGACCAGGATGGTCTCGATCTCTTGACCTCGTGATCCACCCGCCTCGGCCTCCCAAAGTGCTGGGATTATAGGCTTGAGCCACCGCGCCCGGCCTTTTAAGGCTTACGCAGGGATATGGGGTACTGGGCCTGGGCAGGATAAGGGTGGTTAGGTTTTAAGGGGATGATGAGTTGAGTGACTCGCAGCCAGGGATGGGGAGGTGGTGTCCCACACCCTAGGGTTAAGGTAGTGGGATAGGAGGAGGCCTATGAAGGGAGGTACGGGTTTGGGGAGGAGGGTGGCAATGAGGTGTGGCTGTAGCCCAGGAATAGTTAAGGAGCCAGACAATTTTGCTAGGATATCTTGGCCTAACAGGGCAACTGGACCAGTGGGGATGATTAGGAAAGAATGTGGAAAGGAGTGCTGGCCTGATTGACACCAGACTTGGGGAGTTTTAGAGGCCTGGAGGCCTTGTCGTTGATTCCCACAACAGTTAATGAGGCCAAGGAGACAGGTCCATGAAAAGAAGGCAGTGTGGGGTGGTGGTCCCCTTGTTAATTAAGAAGGGGATGGACTTATCCTCCAGTGTAAGAGTTACCTGAAGCTTGACATCCGTGATGGTCCAGGGAGCCGCCAAGATATTCGGGCAGATCAGTCTTTGGTCACCAAGCTGAGGAAATCTGGGAAGGATTCGGTCTGGGAACTTTGGGTTGGAGCTTCCGAACCGAATCTTTCGGGGGGTCCCACACAGATATGCCAGGCTTAGAAGGAATCCCAGGCTGTAGGCATTCCTTGGCCCAGTGGCCAGGTTGCCGATGGTTGAAGCAAGGTCTAGGAGGGGCAGTTGGACACTGCAGTCTGAGCACTTTGAAGTCTTTGTGAGCCGGTGCTGTGGCTGGGGTTTGTCTTATGGCAGAGGCAGCAACTCTAGTTCTGAGATGTGCTACCACCGGGCAGCTTCTTCCCTATTACCGCAAACCCTGAAGGCGAGGTTGATTAATTCCTGGTGTGGGGTTTGAGGGCCAGATTCTAATTCTGTAGCTTTTTTGTAATGTCAGGGCCTGACTGGGTGATAAAATGATATTAATCATTTTTGGGGCGATGAGAATGGAAGGATGACATTTAAGTCACTCCAGGTGTTAAGTATTGGAGGATCTGATGAAAAGGAGCCTAAGTGTGGGCTGATTTGGGAAAGGCTGGATAAAGAGAAAGGCACCTGCACCCTAACTATGCCTTCGGCTCCAGCCACTTCTCGAAGGGAGAATTGTTGGGCAGGGGCAGAGGAGTTAGCCTCTGGACTAAACTATAAGCCGGACTGGGTGTGAGGTGTGGAGGTGATAGGAGGGGTGTAAGGAGGTAGGTTGTAGGCAGAGGAAGAGGAGGGAGGCTCTGGGGAGGGGGGCGGGTAGGGCCTGGATTAGGTCCTGGTTTGGACAGGCAGGGAGGAGAAAGGTCCGAAAGCATCGATGGACAAGGAGGATTCTGGATCACCAGCAGAGGCACGAGGGGCAGATGGAAGGGAGAGAAAGAAAATTTGGGATGGGCTGCCTTGACAGCAGAGATTAGGGAGGGACTGGAGTGTAAAAAAAGACCTGGACGTCAGGCACCTCAGTCCATTTGCCCATTCATTGACAAAAATTGTCTAGGTCTCAAAGAATAGAAAAACTGAAAATGCCATTTTCTGGCCATTTGGAACCATTGTCTAGTTTGTATTGAGGACAGGCCACATTACAGACAAAAATGAAACTTTTAGATTTCAGATCGGGCGACAGTTGAAGAGGTTTTAGGTTTTTTAGGACACAGGCTAGAGGTGAAGACAGAGGATTAGAGGGCGGAATATTGCCCCTGGCGAAGGAGATAAGCTTAAAGAAAAGAGTGCAGTAGAGATGAGGAGAGGGAGTGAGCAGCTTCCAGGGTTTTCAGTAGGCATCCCTGACGGAGTCCTGGGCTGTAATGTGAGCGAGTGATCAAGGCAAGCGTCCCTGTTATTGACCAGACACCAAGGGAAGACTGTCTTCCTGAGTCCGTGATCGACATTGGAGTTTTTGAACGAGAGGGAGAGCCTTGTCTCCTCTGTCTCTACACAGAGTGTCTCCTTTGTCTCTACTAAAAGGAGAGACATTTAAAGGAAGAGAGAAAGAGGGAGAGATGTCATTTCCCCTTTCTCTGAAGGAAAAGAGAAAGAGGGAGAGACTTCTGATCTGAAGGTGGTGAGAGGGCTGTTTAGCACGCTAAATATGAGCTGTTGGTCTGGTCTGATGCGTTGAGGTCTCAGGTGGTCTCCTCCCATTGGGGCAGCAGGGACTCGGGACTGGTCTCCCCAAAGGAGTACCCTGTCCTGGCTTTCCAGCACCAAATGTTAAACTCTGTGATCTGGATGAAGAGACCCCCCTCCCCTCCGCAAAAAAAACCAGGCTTTGTGTGAGCAGTTAAGTCTCTTTATTCACCCCAGTATGAGTTGGCTGAGTCCAAAGAGAGTCAGCAGAGGGCAGTGGGATTGGAATTGGTTTTATAGGTTTAGGGTAGGCAGTGGAAAGTTACAGAAGTTACAGTTTAGGGTGTTGTTTTGCAAGCTGGGAGGGGGTCATAGGGTCTGGAGTCACAAGGTTGACCAAGGTTGGTTACAAACTCCAGTCGCCTTATCAATTGATGCAGGGTGGGGATGGGGAGGAACATAGAGAATAGAAGAATGAGAATAGAAGAATGTCTCAAGTTAATTAGGCTCTGTAGGCATTGATCATTCTTCCTCTTTTCATGGTCTTCCAGTTACTTCAGACTTTCTAATTCTGGGAGGCCATCCAGAGGTGTATGTGTGGGTCATGGGGGTCGCCATGGCATCCATGGCACCATCAGTCAGTCTAAAAGACCTTAGAAACACAAATTTGTAAGCTTTCTTAAAACACTATAAGATTTTTTTTTTTTGCAAATTTTTTTTTTTAGTTCATCAGCTTTCATTAGTATTAGTGTATTTTATGTGTGGCTCAGGATGATGATTCTTCTTCCCATGTGGCTCAGGGAAGCCAAAAGGTTGGACATCCCCGGTTTAAAGCAAGCAGACACGTGTCAGGCTGTGACTGAGAGGTGGTCACTACAGTATATCTACACAGCGCATGCAGGGTGTGGGGTTCACTGGAGCAAGTCAGGCAGGCTGTATCTAGCTATCCCATGGGGAGGTGGTCCTGAGGATAAGGGCAGACATCTGGATGGATCACACTGAGGAACTGGAAGGAGGTGGAGAACTGGAAAGTGGAACTAAGCCCTACTTCTGGTATGGGAAAGGGTAACTTGTATTCAAAATGGAACCATAGAAATGCAAATTAAAACCACAATGAGATTCCACCTTACTTCTGCAAGAATGACCATAATTAGAGTCGAAAAACAATGGATACTGGGATGGATGTGGTGAAAGGAACATTTTGACATTGCTGGTGGCAATGTAAATTAGTACAACTACTATGTAAAACAGTCTGCCTCAAAGAACTAAAAGTAGATCTACCATTTGATCCAGCAATCCCACCAGTGGGTATCTACACAAAGGAAAAGAAGTCATCATATGAAAAAGACACATGCAGACATTTATAGCAGCACAATTTGCAACTGCAAAGACAGGAAACCAACCTACGTGCCCACTGACCAAGGAGTAAATTTTTAAAATGTGGTATATATACACCATGGAATACTCAGTCATGAAAAGGAATAAAACAAAGTCTTTGGCAGCCACTTGGATGGAGCTGGTGGCCATTATTCTAAGTGAAGTAACAGGAATGGAAAAACAAATACCATATGTTCTTTTTTTGTTTTTTTTTTGAGATGGAGTCTTGCTCTGTCACCCAGGCTGGAGTGTAGTGGCACGATCTCGGCTCACTGCAACCTTCGCCTCCCAGTATCAAGCAATTCTCCTGCCTCAGCCTCCTGAGTAGCTGGGATTACAGGCGTGTGCTGCCACACCTAGCTAATTTTTCTTTTTCTTTCTCTCATTTTTTTTGAGATGGAGTTTCACTCTTGTTGCCCAAGCTGGAGTGCAATGGTGCGATCTTGGGTCACTGCAACGTCTACCTCCTGTGTTCTAGCGATTCTCCTGCTTTCCAACTAGCTGGGATTACAGACATGTGCCATCATGCCTGGGCAATTTTGTATTTTTAGTAGAGACGGGGTTTCCCCATGTTGGTCAAGCTGGTCTCAACTCCCAGCCTCAGGTGATCTGGCCACCTCAGCCTCCCAAAGTGCTGGGATTATAGGCATGAGTCACTACGCCCAGCCTAATTTTTGTATTTTTTAATAGTGACAAGGTTTCACCATGTTGGTTAGGCTGGTCTTGAACTCCTCACCTCAAGCAATCCACCCACCTTGGCCTCACAAAGTGCTGGGATTACAGGCATGAGCCACCCACATGGCCAAAAAGAAATGGAATGTTTCATGAATTTGTGTATCATCCTTGTGCAGGGGCCATGCTAATCTTCTCTGTATCATTCCAGTTTTAGTCTATGTGATGGCAAAGCAAGCGCTGTTATTACTTTTAAGTGGGAGGTAAGCTATGAGGATGCAAAAACATAGGGAATGATAGAATGGAGTTTGTGGAATTGGGGTAGGGTGAGATTGGGAGGTAAGTGAGGGATGAAAGACTACATACTGGGTACAGTGTACACTGCTTGGGTAGCAGGTCTAATAAAATCTTACAATTCACCACTAAAGAATTCATCCATGTAACCAAAAACTACCTGTACCCCAAAAACTAAATAAAAAAAAGCTAATGGAACCATAAAATTATAAGAATTTACCACACTCATTTATTCTTTTTTTTTTTTTTTTTTTTTTTTTTTTTTGAGATGGAGTTTCGCTCTTGTTACCCAGGCTGGAGTGCGATGGCACGATCTCGGCTCACCGCAACCTCCGCCTCCTGGGTTCAGGCAAATCTCCTGCCTCAGCCTCCTGAGTAGCTGGGATTACAGGCACGCGCCACCATGCCCAGCTAATTTTTTGTATTTTTAGTAGAGACGGGGTTTCACCATGTTGACCAGGATGGTCTCGATCTCCCGACCTCGTGATCCACCCGCCTCGGCCTCCCAAAGTGCTGGGATTAAAGGCTTGAGCCACCGCGCCCAGCCTCATTTATTCTTTACAATGGCACTGTATGTATCTATTAAGATTTAGTCTTTTTTTTTTTTTTTTTTAAATTTTTTGAGATGGAGTTTCACTTTTGTTGCCCAGGCTGGAGTGCAATGGTGTGATCTCGGCTCACTGCAACTTCTGCCTCTACAAGGTGGGTTCAAGCAATTCTCTTGCCTCAGCCTCCTGAGTAGCTGAGATTACAGGCATGTGCCACCATGCCTGGCTAATTTTTTATTTTTTATTTTTTTCAGTAGGGATGAGGTTTCGCCATGTTGGCCAGGCTGGTCTTGAACTCCCGACCTCAGGGTGATCTGCCCACCCCAGCCTCTCAAAGTACTGGGATTACAGGCATGAGCCCTCACATTTGGCCTAGTCTTACTTCTTATAGTTAATTATGGAAAAAGAGGGAGGAGGAGGGAGGAAAGAAGGGGAAAAAAGAGAAGGGCAGAGAAGGGAAGGAAACCATTATAAATGCAGGCGGCCAGTACTGCCTACGTTTTCCAAGTAGAGAAAAAGAAGGCTCAGAGACATAACACGTGTTGCCCAAATCAGTCAGTAGGTGTTGGAACTGACTTTCAGAGGCAAGGGTGTATTCGTGAAGTCCATGTTCTGGCACACACCAGTGAATGAAACACGCTGCTTTCTAACGTAGTTTGGGAAGCTACTGCCCTTCTCAACTCCTCGGTAAGGTTGCTCTTCCTGTGTCCTGGGAGTCCCCATCGTCTCAGGGAGGGAGCCATCGAGGCTACAGAACATCTAGATCTCTCATGGAGCTAGAATGGTTCCCACGCGAGAGCTGGTGGAGAAGGCCACACAAACTGTTCCCTCAGTGTCTGTTGTGGAGCCTGGAGTCACCATTGGTCAGCCAGGAGGCAGGCTGTTGGGGAGGAAGGTTGGATGTGGATGGGAGCCGGTACAAATTGGAACCTGGGTTACCAATCCCACCTTGAAGCCACGGGAATGATGGGCTGTGGGGAAAAACATGCAGTAGCACCCGTATGTGCCCTGTACTTGGACAGGCTGGAGGTGGCTCTGGTGGCAGCTGCAGGTCCATCAACTAGCAGATCAACAATAGGGCACACCAGCTGCCTTGTTCCGATGACCTGCACTGCCCTTGAGAACCTAAGATACGGGATGTCATTTCAATTCTGCTCTCCAAATCTCAGGCAATGTCTCATGATCAATGCTAACTTTGAACCAGCCAGGGAAGGAAACTCTGGGAAGGGAGTTCTAGCTTAGCTACAAGGACACAGTCCAGAGCCACGACACTTACCTTGTGTACACCTCTCAGTAAAGTCTAGAAATGCCAGGTTTGCTTCCCCAATTCACCTTGCAGCTTGGATATATGCCCCCTAGGATAAGCCAATCAGATACTGGGATTTAAATCTGGAGCCACAAGGCAGCAAAGACTGAATTCTGGTTCCCAAAGACAGCAGAGCATGGTGTGTAAACAGCATGAATCAGAACCATGGAGCTGGTTTTAAATCCTGGCTCGAATTACTCCCTGGGCCTCTGTGACCCTGCACAAGTGTCCTAAGCTCTTTGGACCTATCTCTCCATTTTTAAAATGGGCATAAAATCTCTAACATGTCATTATGTAGAATGTGAATTGCATAAGCTGTATCAGGTTTGAAATGTCACTGGATTGCTGCAAAGCATTTTTTTCTGAGTCTCTAGGATTCCTGATGATTCCATGGGACCCTCCATAGTCTTTTCTCAATGTATTCAATTTTCACCCATCATTGTTTGATTCCGTTACTTGATGAAGGTATAAAAACTTCCCAATGAGGTATAGGAAGCATTTTGTGGGGTGGGTCAGGGTATGGGTTCTCTGTACTGTCTGTGCTTCTAGCAGGACTTTCTTGTCCTTAGGCTGGCTGGCTCCTTCCTGGTTGTCACTGATGTTTTAACACTTGAAGATGTGGCTGGGCACGGTGGCTCACACCTAATACTAGCACTTTGGGAGGCCAACGAGGGTGGATCATGAGGTCAGGATAGAAAGCATCCTGGCCAAGATGGTGAAACCTCATCTCTACTAAAATACAAAAAATTAGCCAGGTGTCGGGTGGATACCTGTAGTTCTAACTACTTGGGAGGCTGAGGCAGGAGAATTGCTTGAACCCAGGAGGTGGAGGTTGCAGTGAGCCAAGATTGTGCCACTGCACTCCAGCCTGGAGCAACAGAGGGAGATTCCATGTCAAAAAACAAAACAAAACAAAACCCAGTTGAGGATCTGGGAGTCTTAGACAGAAGGATCCCTTGAGCTCAAGAGTTTGAGACCAGGTTGGGCAACACAGTGAGACCTTGTCAATACTAAACTTCAAAAAGATTAGCCATGCATAGTGGTGCACCCCTGCAGTCCCAGCTACTTGAGGGGCTAAGGTAGGAGGATCACTTGAGCCCAAGAAGTGGAGGCTGCAGGGATACTGATGGTGGTGCCACTGCACTCCGGCTTGAGGAACAGACCCTATCTGAAAAACAAATGAACAAACAGAACAGTTGATCTTGCCCCTGCCTCTCCAAAAGGCAAAACAGTAATGCTTTCTGAGGTACCACCTCTAAGATATTTGCTGTCAGCCTTTCTCCCTCATCCTGTGATCATAAAGGCTGATTTGCTAAAGACTTGAGCATCTATCATCCTTCCAGATGGCACACCTGTTGCAGATGTAGGTTCACTTGGTGATGGGTACCAAAATCTTGTTTATGGGTTGCGTCTTTGGGCTTCACAGTGAGGGAATGTTGAGACCATGGCAATCACAGGGTAAAATCCTCACCCAGGGTGAGTTCCTTGCTCTTAGCTGGAAATGGGAGCTCACAGAGTAGTTCCTTTAATGAATGAGAATCTGGCTCTTTGAGTTGCAATTTTCTTAAAAATAAAGACACAGGAGACTGCCAAAAAAAAAAAATAATAATAATAATAGCTTTATTACTTAAGATGTGAGCATTTACAAAATGCCAGGGAAAACAACTCCCTATTTTGAGCCTCTGAGGCCTGAACTTTCACCATGTACCATGAAAAAAATGCCTCTTTTAAACTTTCAAATATTTGGGATTATTTTTGATTCTTATCCCAGATATTTTTTAAAGTTTGCCTCCACTGGGCCCTGACTTGCCAAATCTCTGTTCAGTTAATCAGGCTGCTCGTACTAGTAACAGCTCCATTTCTGTCTCTTCTCAGGAAGAGATGGGCACAAGACACATCTATCTGAACTCCTTAGTATTGTGTTCTGAAGACTGAGGGCTGCCAGCAAATGATGAAGGGTAGCGTCTAGGATATGGGCAAACTCAAGGTTCATATCTAAGGTGGAAAATCCATTCTCAACTGAAACAGCAAGTTGGATAATACTTTGATAAGATAGGTTTTGTGTACACAGCACACAACGTTTAACAAATTTTACAAACAGATTTAGGGAAAACCTCCAGGCTATTTCCCCAAATAACTGACATAGTGCAAAACAAAACAAAAAAGAGGAGGAGGGGTACAAATGAATAGCCCACTTGCAAGCTGAATAGAATGGGAAGCCACTTCTTTTCACCACATCTTTTACTTTTTTGACTGGTCACAGTGGCTCATGCCTGTAATCCCAACACTTTGGAAGGCCGAGGCGGGTGGATCACCTGAGGTCAGGAGTTTGAGACCAGCCTGACCAACAAGGTGAAACCCCATCTCTACTAAAAATACAAAAATTAGCCAGGCATGGTGGCAGGTGCCTGTTCCCGCTCCTTGGGAGGCTATGACAGGAGAACTGCTTGAACTTGGGAGGCGGAGGCTGCAGTGAGCCGAGATCATACCACTGCACTCCAGCCTGGGCCGTGGAGTGAGACTCCATCTTAAAAAAAAAAATTAGTAATTTATTTTTACAAACAACACTTTCAGTAATTTATTTTTATCTTGGTAGAGGTGCACCCCAGGGATGATCTGGCCCTCAGTCAAGAGTTGATTTTTCCTGTAGCTATGCTGACCACAGGAGAGCACTAAAAGTGGATTATTAATGGAGGAAACAGTGGCTACTTGTATCCTAGTTATTCTGATAGAAACAGCAGTTCCACAGTCGCCAAAGGTATTGTTCACAACACACCACAGCAACATAGGCCCATGACAGCATGTGTTTTATAACTTATCCACTGGAAGGACATATTTAATACAAATCAGCAATTCATCAAATTACTGGCCATTTAACAACATATAGAAAAGGACTGTCCCAGTAGAAAGGGTTCACAATCTGAGCTGGCCTTTTACAATGGCAAATACTGTTACAGTAACATTGTAAACAAATATGAAAAAAATGTATCATAATGAAGACCTTTTAGGTAAGATTTTCAGAAAACCCAGGGATAGATTTTATGTCACAGAATGGTCCATATCGTCCAAAAATATCTTTTGATTGGACAGTAAAATAATATTTGTTGGAAGCTAAAAACTGAGATAAAGTACAGGCCATTGGGAGTGGTAAAGCTTTAATTTCTCCAATCTTCTTCCAAATCAACTTATTATTAGGGTTCTCATGACACAGGAAGAGGTGGTAGCTTTCTACAGGAGCACACTTGGGATTGATTTTGGTTATATTCCAAGTCAGGGCAATGCCATTGGGTCTAAAAACCCGTTTCACTTTGAGCTCAGGCTTCTGGGGAGGAAGTGTGTCTCGGATTTTGTCTACTAATTCAGGTAGTGGTGGTGGTGGTTCTGGGAGAGGTGGCAGGTGTTCAAATAACTCAGGAACCTAAAAATACCATTGTAAGAAATTTCAGCTTTTAAAGTGGTCAACTGGAGTTGTACGAATATTTATTTCCCATTCTTCATTTATCAAAATAACAAAAGGATATTTCAATAATATGTGAGGCTGAATTCAGTCCCTTAACCATAATGCTGTATTGGTTTTAAGATCTGTGCACTCTGGAATATCACTAATCCAGAATGGGTTAGTTCTAGACATGTGGGATAAATCTTCCATCTCATTTCCAAATTGTGTTCTAAAATACTGTACTAATTTACATAAAAAGTGTCAGTGTGGCTAGGCACAGTGGCTCATGCCTGTAATCTCAGCACTTTGGGAGGCCAAGGTGGGTGGATCACCTGAGGTTAGCAGTTCGAGACCAGTCTGATCAACATGGTGAAACCCAGTCTCTACTAAAAATAAAAAAATTAGTTGAGTGTGGTGGTGTGTGTCTGTAATACCAGCTACTCGGAAGCTGAGGCAGGGGAATCACTTGAACCCAGGAGATGAAGTTTACAGTGAGCCTTGATCACACCACCATACTCTAGCCGCCTGAGCCACAGAGCGAGATTTGGTCTCAAAGAAAAAAAAAGTGTCAGTGTCTGAGAATATCCTTTTCCTCCCATCCTCATCAACAATGGCTACTGCTTCTTTTCCAGTTAGTTCAATAAAAAAAAAGTGTTTGTTTTAATTTCTGTAGCTTCTGTAAAACTCAACTGAGTAATTTTAATTGCATAAATAAGTAGATTCACAACAGCACATTAAATTGTCTTCTAAGCTGAAATGTGACCCAAATGTTCCTTCAAGAGTAAAACAGGTACTTCCCACTCAATTTGGAAGAAATATCCCTTACAGAGCACTTGGTATCAGTACCTGGGCTGCATTTGGCGCCACTGGGATTGTTTGTTTTGAGCTTAAAACAGCTTTCACAGGTGACTCCAGGGAAGATAGTGGACTTTCTGTGAACAATACAAGGTTTAAGAATTAAATTTCTATAGCCTTTAAGCATATAGTTTACATCTTTGGTGGTAATTAAATGTGAAATAAAATTATAAAACTGTGAATTATGAAGATGCACTTAATTAATTTTAAGTTCAAGATACAGAGGTACCAAATAAAATTTTTAAGCTGACAAAAATTTCCCTCTTGAGGTAAACACTTTAGTCATTACGCAACTGGGAACTAGGTATATTCACACTTGGAACAGAGATCTCTGATCGATGATTAGAGGCAAATTTTCTTGTTAGGCCAACAAAGATGTCCACAAACACAGAGCTATTTATAATCTATACTCAAGTTGTAGGAATTCAAATGAAAAATGATGTAGACTGGGGAAAAGAACAGGGGAGGGAGGAGAAACAGAAAGGAAAAATAAAACAGATGGTGAGAGGAAGAAAGGAGGCAAAAAGAAAAAATGTGGGTGGGTGGCAGGAAAAGAAGGTACAAGGAGGTAAAAGAATGGATGGAAAACACTGGCGGAGGCTGGGCGTAGCGGCTCACGCCTGTCATCCCACAACTTCGGGACATTGAGGAGGGTAGAGGACTTAAGGTCACAAGTTCCAGATCAGCCTGGGCAACACAGTGAAACCCCTCTCTACTAAAAATTCAAAATTAGCTGGGCATGGTGGTACATGCCTTTCCTCCTAGCTACTGGGGAGGCTGAGATAGGAGAACTGCTTAAACCTGAGGGGCAGAGGTTGAAGTGAGCCAAGATCACGCCACTGCACTTCAGCCTGGTGACAGAAGACGGGGGAAAAAAAAAAAGACTCAAAAAAACCCCAAACCAAACCAAACCAAAAAATACCCCCCACAACAAATAACAGTCTTTCCAGTTCTAAATCACTGAGGAATCGCCAGACTGTCTTCCACAATGGTTGAACTAATTTACATTCCCACAAATAGTGTAAACACATTCCTATTTCTCCACAACCTTGCCAGCATCTGTTGTTTTTGACTTTTTTAATAATCAACATTCTGACTGATGTGAGATGGTACCTGATCGTGGTTTTGATTTGCGTTAATCTGATGATCAGTGATGGGGAGCTTTTTTTCATGTTTGTTAGCCGAATGTATGTTTTCTTTTGAGAAATGTCTGTTCATGTCTTCTGTCTACTTTTTAATGAGGTTGTTTTTTTTCTAATGGGTTTTTTTTTTTCCTTGTAAATTTGTTTTAAGTTCCTTATAGATTCTAGATATTAGACCTTGGTCAGATGAACATATTACAAAAATTTTCTCCCATTCTGTATGTTGTCTGTTTGCTCTGATGATAGTTTCTTTTGTAGTACAGAAGCTCTTTAATTAGATAACATTTGTCAATTTTTGCTTTGTTGCAATTGCTTTTGGCGATTTAATCACCAAATTGCAATCTCACCCAGCAGTCTCATTACTGGATATATACCCAAAGGAATACAAATCATTCTATTATAAAGACTCATGTATATGTTCACTGCAGCACTATTCACAATAGCAAAGACATGGAATCAACCCAAAGGCCTATAGATGATAGACTAGATAATGAAAATGTGGTACATATACACTACAGAATAGTATGCAGTCATAAAAAGGAACAGTTGGGAGGCTGAGGTGGGCAGATCATGATGAGGTCAGGAGATTGAGACCATCTGGTCAACATGGTGAAACCCAGCCTCTACTTAAAAAAAAAAAAAGAAAAAAAGAAAAAAAAATTTGCCAGCCATGGTGGTATGAGCCTGTAGTCCCAGCTACTTTGGAGGCTGAGGCAGGAGAATTGCTTGAACCAGGAGACACGGAGGTTGCACCACTGCACTCCAGCCTGGCAACAGCAAGACTCCCTCTTTTAAAAAAAAAAAAAAAGGAACGAGATCCTGCGCTTTGCAGAGACATGGATGGAGCTGGAAGCCATTATCCCCAGCAAAATAATGCAGGAACAGAAAACTGAACACTACATGTTTTCACTTATATGTGGGAGCTGAAGAATGAGAACACAAGGAAACAGGGAGGGGAACAACACACACTAGGCCTGTCGGGGAAAGGAAGGGGGCGGAGAGAGCATCAGGAACAACAGCAGATGCGTGCTATGCCCAATACCTAGATGATGAGTTGACTGGTGCGGCAAACCACCATGGCATACGTTTACCTGTGTAACAAACCTGCACATCCTGCACGTGTACCCCAGAACATAAAGTTTAAAACAAAAAAAGTAAAGAGAGTAAATACAGAGATGGTTAAGAAAACAGGGTTTATACTGGAAAGTATGAAAGTTGGGTAGCTAAAAATTCCAGAATCAAGAAGTAAAAAACCATTTTAAGTCTATGTATATCCTGTGATATAACTACTTAAAATATTTTATAAATCATTTTTCTTTTGACTAGTACGAATGAGATTCTGCATTGTTTACAAAACCTTCCTAGAAGTAATGATTTTATTATTTTAATCTGAAGAGTCTGTTCAGCTGTTCTGTACTTGTTTAATTAATGAGACAGACTTGTAAAATTATAATCCACAGGTTAAGAACTAATACAAATAACCTGCTTTAAATTTTTAGCCAACAGCTGAATATTTAAAATATCCTAAATAAGTATAATTTCTTATAAATCAGATTCCTTCTTCCAAGGCAGTAAGTCAACAGGCCCATAGCAAATTAAAACAGAATACAAAAGAAACTCAACTTTATGATAAGAAGAACTTTCATTCTAACCCAATTTTAATGTTTATTTCCTTTTTAAAGTACGTCTTATAATCAAAGTTGAGTCTTGTATCTCCAGTGTAACAATGCTTTTCAATGGAGTGTTTGGACCGTTTACATTTACTATCATTTTGCCTTTTGTTCTCTATGACTCTTGTTCTTTGTCGGCTTTTTGTGGCTTCTTAGATTGCGTATTTTAAAAATTACACTTTATTGTCACTATAGCTTTACTTCTATTTAAAAGAAAAAATTGTTGCTGTAGGCATTACCATATATATCTTTAACTTATCATAGTCTAGTTTCAAATAACATGATACCACTCAAGAGCCTTATAACAGCATACTTTCATTCCTGTGACTATCTTTTGCACTACTGTTTTCATCTTCTGACTTCTATATAAATTCTACAATATAGTTGTAGTCCTTTGCGTACATCTACTTTTCATCTGGTATCTTTTATTATCACTTGAAGAACTTCCTTTATTTCTGAAAGTAAAGGTCTGCTGACAACAAATTTTGCAGATCTGAAAAATTTTAATTTTGCTTTATTTATTTTTGTAGAGATGGGGTTTTGCTATGTTGCCTAGAATGGCCTCAAACTCATGGCCTCAAGCCATCCTCCTGCCCTGACCTCCAAAAGCTGCTTTCATTTTTGAAAGACTTATTTTCTAGATAAAGAATTATAGGTTGACAGGTATTTCCCCCAGTCTTTTAATGAAGTTACTCAATTGTCCTTTGGCTTGCATTCTAGCCTAGAAATTTGTGAATTCTTTTTTCTTTTATCTACATCGTATTTTCATCTTTTTCCTTATCACTGGATTTCGGGAACTTGACTATGATATGTCTTGGTATGACGTCTTCTTTTGTGTTTATCCTACGTGGAGTTTGTTAAACATCTTGGATATGTGGCTTTATATTTTTCACTAAATTTGAATGAGACCTTATAACTGACCTCAGCCCCATGATTGTATTTCACTTTTTTCCTTAAATCTCTGAAAGATGAGACACTGTTGTCACTCTCTCTCTCTCCATTTTCATGTTATACCCCAGTTTATGCTTCGCTATGTGTCCTCTCAGCTGCTATACTAAAAGGTATGTACCAAAGGCAGAAAATAAATTTTTAAGTCCCAAATAAGCCAGATCTTTCAGTGAGTTTATGAATAAACAAACTGTGATGCATCCATACCCCAGGCTACTCTTGGCAATAAAGAGGAACACACTACTGATAAACAACAATAGGGATGACCCTCAGCATTATGCTGAATGAAAGAAGTCAATCTCAGAAGGACACATATTACATTATCAAATTCATATAACATAATTATAGGACAGAACAGACTGCTGGTTGCCAGGGACCGGGCAGAAACAAGGTGTTGAGTACAAAGGGGTAGCATGAAGGAGACCTGTAACGACAGAACAATTCTGTACTTTGACTATGATGGCAGTTACATTAATCTGCACATGTACTAAAAATGCATAAACATATACACACTAACATATTAAAACAAATTTCATAAGTAGGCCCAGTGCACTGTGAGTTGTTACCCTTCCACCCTTTTTTAAAAAGGAAGATCTAAAAAATCCTTTTACCTTTATTGTAGTTGGAGAGGCCTTCTTTTGTCAAGTCAATTACAGAATCAGGTTTCTTCTGTACAGCCTAAAAAATTGTGAATAAAAAAAAAAAAAAAACCTTTGCCTCAATAGCTGAAAATGTTTTTAAAAATTTAAAAATGAAATTTTAAATTACCATTTAGAAACCAGATGGAACATTCTCTAAGACTCTTGTGGTTTAATTCTACTATTAAAAAGCTCTTATAAAATAGTATCATTATAAAATATGCTTATCATTAGCTGTCTCCTTTTCAATGTGTAAGCTGGACTAAAACGAAATCATCCACCATGTAGCAAATCATCCACCATGTAGTTCTTTGAACTAGTATATTTAAATGAACAATATTCAGAGTCAGTATTTATTACCTACCGTAACTTCAGCATTGGGAGAACTGCTGGAATGTCCTGATGTAATATGTCTGATATCTGAAGGAAATTAGATATTTGACAAACTTATTAAACAATAGTTATGGACTTTGTGAAATATGTGCGCTAAAACAAAATAGGGATACTGATCAGCTGTTAAATATATAATCATAAAATAACTCAATTGACTTTACCTATTCCAAACACTGAGAATGGAATTTTTTTTTAAGAAAATGTAGTTTTGGGTCAAACAATTTTTTCTTTCTGTAACTTTACACCTATATTGGTAACTGTCTTATTTTTTTAAATCTACCTGGAAATTTGCATGGGAAAATACACTTGGAAATACACATACTTTTAATTCACAGTATCTTTAGACAAACTGCCTGACATGGCTTTGAAGCACTCTTCCTGGAACCAGTAGGAAGCCTCAGATAAATGCTTAACACCCTTTGTAACTCTCTAATTCACAATCTTAACAGCCCAAACTGTGGGGATAATTAAGCAGGTTTAAGTGGAAGCAAAGCTTTAAAATTAAGATGCAAATTCTCTAATATAGTAAAAAATGAAATGAAAATGGGAAATTTTGGATGAGAAATTATGAGCCAAACAAGATGGGCATTTTTGAGAGAGAGAGAGGTTATCATTGGAAATTGAAAGGTAATTTTTTTTTTTTTTTTTTTTTTGAAATGGAGTCTCGCTCTGTCACCCAGGCTGGAGTGCAGTGGCATGATCTCAGCTCACTGCAACCTCCACTTCCTGGGTTGAAGCAATTCTCCTGCTTCAGCCTCCCAAGTAGCTAGAATGACAGGCATGCACCACCACACCTGGCTAATTTTTGTATTCTTGGTAGAGGCAGGGTTTCACCATGTTGGCCAGGCTGGTCTCAAACTCCTGACCTCATGATCTGCCCGCCTTGGCTTCCCAAAGTGCTGGGATTACAGGCATGAGCCACCATGTCCAGACTGACTAGACAAATTTTAAAACTGAAGTAGACTATAAAATAATATATAAAAAACAAAAAGGCAAAAAACAAACCATCACTACCGTCAATAAAAGGCCAGGCCAAATGATTAAAGTCATGTACATAAAAGTTAAGTAGTTTTACAACTTACAAGTCATTAAACATGTAAAAGAAACAAAAGGTCATAAACTGATAAAACACAAGGTTAAAATGAAATATTAACCATGACATAAATTAAGCAAACATTAATTTAAGGCCTTCTAACTTGATAGATTATATTCTAATCAGCTTAAGATACCTGTTTGATTTGATGTAATTGGAGTTGTCAAATTAGGACTTTCCACAGAAATCAACATAACATCATCATTGTTACTAAAATGATAAAAAGAAATTAAAAACAAAAACTACACATGCATTATCAGGCTTAAACATGCAATTAGTGGTTAGATGTCCTCTAACTTAACATTTTATAATGTTTTAATTTAACAATTGTGGGGGCAAACAGAAATGGTAAAACCAAATGCCCAAAAAAAACCCCTCCATTTATTACCAATTCAGTTATATGACCAAAAGGTCATGAAAATCCAATAATAGACCCATAAAATGTAGTAGGGATCTATTCACAATGATTCTAAAAATATGTATAACGTACAGTGGACATAAATGTGTAAAACATACAAATATCACTTGAGCATAGATATTGGCCTTTATAAAAATGAAACATCATGTAACTGAGAGAAATCTATTGAAAACCATAAAGACACCTGGGCTCTTAAAGTTAGAAAACTAACAAAGAATTATTTTAAAAAGAACTGCTGCCACTCTTTATTGTATTTTTCCAATAGCATTATTTACCACAAATGTTTTTAATTGAGGCAATGATGATAAATGATGCTGATTATGGTTACAGAATATTCTGAGCCATTTTGACCCTGAATTTTTTTTGTTTTTCCAAGTTCAACTTTTTTGTTTTTTTGAGACAGAGTTTCACTCTTGTTGTCCAGGCTCAAGTGCAATGGGGTGATCTCAGCTCACTGCAACCTCTACTTCCTGGGTTCAAGAGATTCTCCTGCCTCACCCTCTCAAGTAGCTGGGATTACAGGCATATGCCACCACGCCTGGCTAATGTTTGTATTTTTAGTAGAGATGGGGTTTCACCATTGTTGGTCAGGATGGTCTCGACCTCCGGATCTCAGGGGATCTGCCACCTCAGCCTCCTAAACTGCTGGGATGACAGGCATGAGCCACTGCGCCCAGCTCAATTATACCATTTTCTTGCACACATCTTATACTTTTACTGTTTGTATTTAGGTCTGTGATCCATTTGAGTTAATTTTTGTTTATGGTATGAAGTAAGAGCTGAGGTTCACTTTTCCCTCTATTGCAGCCAACTTTTGTGGAAAAGACTGTCTTCTCCTGATAAGCTACCTTGGTACCTTTGTTGTAACCAATGAACTACATGTGCATTCTCTAGTGTGTCAATTAGTCAACATGCCTATCCCTGCACTGTCTTAATACTACAGCTTTATAGTTAAGATAGTGTAGTCTTCTAACTTTGTTCTTTCCCAATGCTGTTTTCATCTTCTAGGTATTTGTATGTATGTATGTATGTGAAAATGCATACATACATATATGTATTTAAATTTTTTTAAATAGAGACAGACTCTTGCTCTGTCTCCCAGGCTGGAGTGCAGTGGTACAAATCTATCTTGCTGCAGCCTGGGCCTCCTGGAGTCAAAGGATCCTCTCGCCTCAGCCTCCTAAGTAGCTAGGATGACAGGCATGTGTCACCAGGCCTAATTTTTTTAAAAAAATTTAAATGTTTATGTTGGCCAGGCTGTGATCCTCTTGCCCTGGCCTCCCAAGATGCTGAGATTATAAATGTAAATCATCATGCCTGGCCTCAACTTTGTAATCAGTTTGTTACTTTCTACAAAAATGGATGAGACACTGACTGATACGCAATTTGCAGTGAGGTAACGTCTTAACAGTGAATTTTCTGGTTCATGAAAGTTGCATACCTCACCACTTATTTAGGTCTCCTTAAATTCTTCAGTAATACTTTGCAGTTTTAGGTTAGGTAGTTTTGGTTTACCCCTAAATATATTATGTTCTCTGATTTTATTGTAAATGGCATTCATTTTAAATTTCAAATTCCAATTGTTTCTTGCCTGTTTGTATACATAATTTCTAAACTATATATATTCACATATATAGGATGGAGTGTTTCTATATAGTGCGTGTGTTGTGTGTATACACTATATAGAAACACAAAAATATTTTCTATTTGCCATATCAGAATCAAATTTCGATCTAATACTATTTTCCTTTTGCCTGAAAAATCTCCTTCAAAATTTCTTGTAGTGTAGGTCTGTTGATAATTTCTCTCACCCTTTTTTGGCTTAAAAAAGTCTGTTTTCTCCCTACAATTTTGAAACATATTTTCACTGGGTATAGAACTCTGCATGGACTTTTTTTTTTTTTTTTTTTAAACCTTTCAATATTTTCTAAGTATCTATTATCTTAAAATTTTAGAGATGGTCTCATAGTTTGCATAGGTTACAGCAAGAAGTCTGTTGCCATTCTTACTTTTTGTTCTTTTCTACCTGATGTGTCTTTTGTGTGGCTACTTTTTAAAATTTTTTCTTCATCGCTGACTTTCAGCAATCTGATGATGTGGTTTTCTATGCTTTTATGTTTCTTCTGCTTGGGACTTGTTAACTTTTTTCATTTATGGGTTTAGAATTTGTATCAACTATAGAAAATTTTCAGACATTGTATCTTCAAGCATTTGCTCAGCCTCTGCCTTGGTGATACTCCAATAATATGTGTATTAACTATTTATACTGTTCCATAGGTCTCTGATGCTCTGTTCATTGTTTTTTCAGTTTTTTTCTTCACCATGCTTTAGACTGAACATTTTCCATACCTATTTCACTGATACTTAAAAAGAATTCTGCACACTTTTTCACTTTAGTTACAATCTTTTTCACTTCTACATATTCAACTTGGGTCTTCTGTATTTTCCATTTCTCTCACATTCACACTTTCCTCAACTGTTGTCATTATTTCTAACTAAGAAACAAAAATATTTAAATCTAAATTTTGTTAAGAATATTGCGGTGGCTCAAGCCTGTAATCCCAGCACTTTGGGAGTCCGAGGCGGGTGGATCACGAGGTCAAGAGATCGAGACCATCCTGGTCAACATGGTGAAACCCCGTCTCTGCTAAAAATACAAAAAAATTAGCTGGGCATGGTGGCGCGTGCCTGTAATCCCAGCTACTCAGGAGGCTGAGGCAGGAGAATTGCCTGAACCCAGGAGGCGGAGGTTGCGTTGAGCCGAGATCGCGCCATTGCACTTTGGGAGGCGGGTGGATCACCTGAGGTCAGGAGTTTGAGACCGGCCAGGATAACATGGTGAAACCCTGTCTCTACTAAAAATACAAAAAATTAGCCAGGCGTGGTGAGAGCTCTACTTGGGAGGCTGAGGCAGAATAATCTCTTGAACTCGTGAGGCAGAGGGTGCAGTGAGCCAAGACTGCACAACTGCACTCCAGCCTAGGTGACAGAGCGAGACTCCATCTCAAAAAAAACCCAAAAGAATATTTGATTTTCTATCCATTTCGCCTTCTAGTCATTTCTTTTGTCAAATTTCTTTTGTATATATTTTTGTCTTGTAGTAGTAATGGCAGTCATAAATTGGATGAAAGACTGATAGCTCTATTTTTTGTTGCTAATCCATAAGAAAATTTTAAGTACTTATGAGGTAAGGATTAATATCTGGGACCCACCAAGGTAAAGAAGCCGTGGCAGACAGTCCAAGCTTTCAGATGGGATCCATGGTAGGCTATGTCTTAGGGACCAGAGTGAACTAGAGGTAGAAGGAGCCTTACCAAAATTACCACAAGCAGAGGATTAACCTTGTTTTTATGGCAAGGTATCACTTAGCACCTCAACAATTTTTCAGACTATCAAGCATGCCAAGAAAGACTGGAGACTGGCAGAAAAACAACAGAAACAGATGCACAGGTGATCCAAATACTGGAGTTAAAACAAGAGCATTAAAATAACTGATTAATAATTTAAAAAATACAAAAGATGGAGAAAACAGTTAGAAAACAGATGGGGCATTCATCAGAAAAGCAGAATCTATGTAAAAAAGACAACAATGAAATTAAGTACAGTCAGTTCATATAAGACACCATTAGGGAAACAAGAAGACTTCGGGTCAGGAAAGATATTTATAATAAATGTATCTGGTAAAAACATTTGAAAAGACAAAGCAAAAATTTTTATAAAAGATATCCAAATGCAAATTTGCCTAATTTTCATTATTAAAAGGAAGTAGAAATTAAAACCACAGTGTAATGCTATACACCAGCATGGCTAAAAAGAGATACTACCCAGAGTTAACAAGGATATGCAGTAACAAGCATCTCACGTACTCACAGTGGGAGTATACCGTGGTAGAACTTTTTTGGTAAACGGGCTGGTGGTATCTATTAGACCTCAAGATATGCATACCTTATGACCTAGCAATTCCAATTCTAGGCATATGTCCAACAGAAGTGTACATTCACCAAAAGACATGTAAAAGAATGTTCACAGCAGCTCCATTTATATTTTCCCTAATATGCAAACAATCTAAATGCCCATGAACTGAACAGTTCATAAAGCTAAGACCAAGCATTGTCTATAAAACAGCAGAAGCAGGACTGCATATTAGACTACAATGAGTAAAGAATCCCTATCATGATCTTAGTATGACTTCTAAAGGAACACTGAAAACAGTGTAATTTAAAAAGGTAATGGGGAATGGAAAGAAAGATTAATCCAAAAGATGGCTAAAACAGCGAGACAGAGATACACATGAGGAAAAGGACCATAAAACAGGACAAGTAGAAAACTGGTAATAAGAGTGTAAAGATGAACCTTACACATCATTAAGATTACACTAAGCATAAATAACTTTTCTGATTAAAAGGTTATTTCCAGATTATACTAAAATATATATTTTCCATTAAGTAATTACCATGCTAGTGCCCATGTAGCCACTATTTAGGTAAGTAAAATTTAAATTATCAGCACTGCAGAAACTCCTATGCTTCCATTCTATATCATAAACTTCCTCCCCATACATAGCATATGTGGTACTAATCTACTTGTTTTACTCTTTAGACTTACTATCCAGCTTAGAATTCCTGAAGCATGCACTTTCTGGTTATTTTTGAATTTAATTTAAATGGAATCATACTCTGTGGGAATAATCCATACTACTGCATGTGAATGCAGTTCCTTCATTTTAATTAATGTACAATATTCCACTTTATAGATTTACTGTAATCTTTTTCAACTATAGTGGAATACTTTTTCCTTCCAGTTTTTGGCTGTTATGAAAACTGCTGCTAATAAACATTCCCATACATACATTCTATTGCATATCTACATGCAATAGATATACGTCTAACTAGGGTATATATCAAGAGATGAGACTGCCAGGTCGAAGGATATTCAAATCTTTGATCTTTCCAGATAATGCCAATTTTCTTTGAGTACTATACCAATTTATATACTCAACAACATAATTAAATAAATACAATTTCCTTTATTTCAAAACCTCACTGAAACCCAGTAGTCAGATTTTTAAATGTATTTTTTCCTTACTTCATATGAAATATCTCATTGTGGTTTTAATTTGCATTTCCCTGATTACTAATGAAGATGAACACTTTTTCATATGTTTATTGGCCATTTCAAACTCCTCTTTTGTGAAGTGGATGCACAAGTCTTTTGCCCATTTTTCTTTTGTATTATCTGGCTTTTACTCATTAATTTGTTGAAGTCCTTTATACATATTCTACGTACTAGTACTCTACAGGTTATATGTGCTGCGAGTATCTTCTCCACCTCAGATGGCCTGTCTTCTTACTATCTTTATAGTGCCTTTTGAGAAATAATGTGGTAAAATTACTCTTTCTTTTATGGCAAGGGCATTTATGTCCTAAGAAATCTTTCCCTATCCAAGTTCATGAAGACATTCTATATCCTGAAAGCTTTGTGATTTCCTTGAGATATTTTTAGTTCCTTAATCCACATGAGATTAGTTTTTTTGTATTGCTTGACATAGGGGTCCAATTTCATATTTCTCCCAACATAAAGAGCAAACAAGATGACACTGTTTACTAAAAGTCAGTTATTTCCCAAATGACCTGCCAAACATCTCCATCACATATCACACGTACATATATACATGGGTTTCCGGAGTCTTTGTTATACTGATCTATTTGTCTAGTATGTGCCAATCTCATACTATGCTATTACTGTAGCTCTGTAATACCCTCCATCTGATGGCAAATTCCTTCCATTTTGATTCTCTAATTATAGAGTATCTTGACCTCTGACCTCATTGGATTTACATACACATTTCAGAATCACAGGTTAAGTTCCATAAAATTACACACTGAGATACTGACTGAAACTGTACTCTATAAAATTAACTTGAACAAAGTAAAAACTTTTTTTTTTTTGAGACAGTCTGGCTCTGTCACTCAGGCTGGAGTGCAGTGGTGATACTGGCTCATTGCAATCTCTGCCTTCCAGGTTCAAACAATTCTCTGCCTCAGCCTCCTGAGTAGCTGGGATTCCAGAAGCCTGCCACCACACCTGACTCATGTTTGTATTTTTAGTAGAGACAGGATTCCATCATCTTGGCCAGGCTAATCTTCAACTCCTGATCTTGTGATCCACCTGCCTTGGCCTCCCCAAGTGCTGGGATGACAGGTATGAGCCACCACACCAGGCTGAAAACATTTTGTTTTGTTTGTTCTTTGTCCGCACCATAAACATAGTGTATCACTTTTCAATTAAGTTTTCTTTAATGTCTAACATTTTGTATTTTCTTCAGCTACTGCCTGTCTTCTTACATATTCCTAGGTACCTTATATGTTTTGGTGCTTCTGTAATGTGTTAAGGGCTTTTCAAAATTTTATTTCCTAATTGTTTCTATCTTGTTTTCTAAACAGGAATACAACTGATTTCTTAGATATCTGAATTCAGCAATCTTATATAACTCATTAATTTTAATAATTAATCTTCAGGTTTCACTGGATTTCATATATACACACCCCAATCATCCAAAAATAAGTAATAATATTGTTTCTTCTTTCCTATACTTTGTATTTTTCCTTTTCCCCCGATTTTTTGACATTCTTGCATTAGCCAGGACATCTAGTATGTTACACAAAACGGTGACAGCAGGCATTTTTCTTTCTTATCTCCAAGGAACACTTCCAATGTTTCACCATCAGATTTGTCTTAGGCTTTTGGTAGATAATTTTTGTCAGATTAAAAAAGTTACCTCTTACTCTGAGTTTGCCAGGAATTTGTTTTAATCATAAATGGGTATTCTGTCAAGTTCTGCATCTATTTTGAGTTGTGAGCTGATAATGATCTTTCTCCAGGCAAATCACATTGGTTGTTTTTTTTTGAGACAAGAGTGTTGCTCTGTTGCTCAGGCTGGGGTGCAGTGGTGCGATCTCAGCTTGCTGCAACCTCTGCCTCAGCCTCCCGAGTAGCTGGGATTACAAGCATGCGCCACCATGCCCAGCGAACCTTGTATTTTTAGTAGAGATGGGGTTTCTCCATGTTGGTCAGGCTGGTCTTGAACTCTTGACCTCACGTTATCTGCCTGCCTCAGCCTGCCAAAGTGCTAGAATTACAGGCCTGAGCCACTAGGCCAAGCCAATTTTTGTATTTTTTTTTAGTAGAGATGGGGTTTCACCATGTTGGCCAGGCTGGTCGCCAACTGCTGACCTCAAATGATCCACCCACCTTGGCCTCCCAAAGTGCTGGGATTACAGGTGTGAGCCACCTTGTGCAGCCGTATTAGTTGATTTTTAACTGTTTAACCAAGTTTCCAGCACTCTTGAGTCAAAGTCAACTTTTGTAGACTACTAAATTTGGTAGGACACCTGCATCTATTTTGTGACTTAAAGCAGGCTGTATATTTCCATTTCTGTAAAATGTTATGGAGTCTCATAAAATAAAGTGAAGAACATTCCCTCTTTTTCCATTCTTTTCAAGAGTTTGCTTAAAGCTGGTGTTATTCTGGCTGAAATGTTTTATGAAACTCAGCATTAAAGCCATCAGAATCATGTTACACATTTGTTACACCTATTCGCACATTCACCATGGGCTGAGAGTGCTGCCTCAAACAGTTTTATAAATTGCAGAGTTCTTCCTTCAGGATAGAATATGAGATAGATTTGTTCACATAAAAGATACAAACCACTGCTAAATTGGACATATTTGTCTATAAAGTGCTATTTTAATGGTGTCTTTTTCACTTACATCACTAGCGCTTTTCCTTTTTTGTTATTTCATGAGTTTCAGCACATGCATCAATAAGGGGTCACTACAAACTGTTACTGAAATGTGGCTTTTGTCTTCTTCAACTAAATGCCTCCTTCACAGCAGCTTCCTGACTTAAAACTAAAATGTGGGCCACCATATTACAGAATACGAGAGCATCTCCTGAAGGGTCCTAACTGCATGTTAAATTCCCCAAAACAAAAATCTACTGTAAATGGTTTAGATCTGTACTGCTTCTCCTTTGTCTTAGAGCCCCTTCTGTATGCACACTTACTTGTGGGAAAGGGTGGTAGTCTTCAAACAATGGCCATCATTTAACCTACTTATTTTTGATAAGTTTTCTTCTTTTCAAAATCTCAAGTATAGGTCCAGAAGCAGTGGCTCATGCCTGTAATCCCAGTACTCTGGGAGGCTGAGGCAGGCAGATTGACCCAGGAGGTCCAGACCAGCCTGGGCAATGTGGCAAAACCTGGCCCCTACAAAAAATAAGCCCAGTGTGGTGATGCATGCCTCTAGTCCCAGCTACTTGGGAGGCTGAGATGGAAGATCACTTGAACCCAGGATGTTAAGGCTGCAGTGAGCTGTGACTGTACCACTGTACTCCAGCCTGGGCAAACAAGGTTAGACCCTATTTCAAAAAACCCCAAAACTGAAGTATAACTTATTATATAAAAGTAAAACTATAGGATACTTAAAGAGAAAATGTTAATAATAATATTATAAAGCTCTAAAACTGTGATGAAGAAAAAAATCATTATTGTAGACTTAGATAAATTTATGCATTTTTGTAGAAATACCTACCTTTCAGAAACAGATTCATTCTGATCTGGTGACAAATTAGTATTTTTACTATCTTTTTCTGAAGGGTTAGAAGGCTCATCATTCACAGAAGACCTTTCAACTGACTCCAGATTATTATCCAAAATGATAGTCTCTGAATTGGCAACCTATTAAATGGGTAAGAAAAAAGCAGTTGAGGGGAAGTTTACCAATTGTACATCCTTCCACCAGATTAGCATTTTCAAAGTATTCTTGCATACATATGGCAAAACATAAGTTAAATCATATGTATTGTGAAGGCTGATGACTATGATTGTGATTTGCCTGCTAAAATGAATTTTTTTTAAAAAACTTAAGGCCGGTTGCGGTGGCTCATGCCTGTAATCCCAGCACTTGTGAGGCTGAGGCGAGAGGATCACCTATGGTTGGGAGTTCAAGACCAGCCTGATCAACATGGAGAAACATCACCTCTACTAAAAATACAAAATTAGCCCGGCGTGGTAGCACATGCCTGTAATCCCAGCTACTTAGTAGGCTGAGGCAGGAGAATTGCTTGCATCCAGGAGGCAGAGGTTGTAGTGAGCTGAAATTGCACCATTGCACTCCAGCCTGGGCAACAAGAGAGAAACTCCGTCTCAAAAAAAAAAAAAAAAAAAAAAAAAAAAAAAAAACTTCGAAGAAACCAAACAGATGGTACACATTAACTTCCTAGCTTGGATAGCAAGAAAGAAAAATGTTCAGGTACTTTGGACAACACTTGATTCCTATTAGATTAAGTTTTAGGAATACTTAACAAGAAAATTTTACTATTAATAAAGACTAGAAATAACTCAGATTGCCAACTTGCTCTTCCAGTTGAGTTTATGTAAAACTTGGAGCTGAAACATTTTGTATTCTGTTTTGGTCAAGAACTTGCAGCATTTTGTATATATATAAATATGTAAGTATACATCTATAAATATATATAAACAAAAATTCAAAAGCATCATGTGACTGCCCAACTCAAAAACTTTTCTAAGGGACAGCATGAACAAAAATGCCTTTATGTAAAGACAGAATTCGGAAATGTTATCTTCTTAAGAGAAAAGATTTTATACGTAGAAATAGGTTTAAGTAACATAAGAAAGTAGTAGCAAAAAATATTTGGTATCCTTTCAGTTCCAGGTCAAGGTGGCATAGGCTCTTGCCTGCTCGGCTCCTCTAATTACAACATTGTTAAGAATATAAATATCATAAAGCTCTGAGACTGCTGAGAACCACTAGTAATGAGAATTCATTAGTATCTTATCTTCCTCACCCCGCCCCCAACTTTTAACATCAATCCAGGCCAGAACCATCCATAATGTTTCTTTGTTAAACCAAACTACTTCTTCCTTACTGGTTCCAAATAATAAACGTGAAACTGGAAATAATTTGACCAATAATCCTAACTCTGAAAGATGTAAAGCAAAAGGCAGACTGGCTGAGGAATTCATGACTGAGTAGCAGCATCACAGTGAGTATCCTCAAGTTTTCTTTTAACTCTACATATATTTGCACTGGAAGCTGGGCACCCATCCGTTGTCCCAAACCTGTAGCAGCAGTGGCAAACCCCCCAGTTTTATACTTGCAGGATCGGGGGCCCAATTCACCACAGCAGCAGTATCAGTTGTGTCCTATCTGACATTTGGAGCAATGGCAGGCCCAATCCGCTGCAGTGTAGCAACCATAGGCCAACTTTTCCTAAATTTCCCACTCAACAGGACTGGGGCTTAAGGTGACACCTGCAGAGACTAAAGGGGAGACCCAGTGGAACCAGAAGAATGAAGCTAAGCGGTATGGCACTTTAAGAGCTCTGAAAAGTAAACTGTCACTGAAACCTCAGCTTACAAGAAGAGGTGAGGAGCTAAACACTAAACCTAAACAGGGGAACTTGCTGCTGAAAGAGAGTCGTAAGCTTAGTGTCTTCAAGGAGCCCTCCATGTGACTGAATACTGAGACATTTGATCCGTCCAAGGCACTAGGAAAAGGGTATCCAGCTAAAATCTTGACTTTCTCTCCAGGGCATGCTCTTCTGATCGTGAGCCTCTTAGAGTCTTCTGCATTCTGGACAGGCTGAACATTTCCTGAATCTTCAAGTCCTTTCTGCTAAATTTTTCTTTTTTCTCACTTTGTAATAAGAAGCAAGAAGAAACCAGGCTAAACCTACAATACTTTGCTCAGAAACCTCATAAGCCCTGTAATCCCAGCTACAATGGAGGCTAAGGCACAAAAACTGATTGAACCCAGGAGGCCGATGATGCAGTGAGCCGAGATTGTGCCACTGCACTCCAACCTGGACAACAGAGTGAGACTTTGACTTCAAAAATAAAATAGGGCCTGACACAGTGGCTCACATCTGTAATCCCAACACTTTGGTGGCTGAGGCAGGCAGACCATGAGGTCAGGAGTTCGAGACCAGCCTGGCCAATATGGGGAAACCTCATCTCTTCCAAAAATACATAAATTAGCTGGGCGTGGTGGCACATCCCTATAATCCCAGCTACTCAGAAGGCTAAGGCAGGAGAATTGCTTGAACCAGTGAGGTGGAGGCTGCAGTGAGCCGAGATCATGACACTGCATTTCAGCCTGGGCAACAGAGCAAGACTCCGTATCAAAAAAACAAACAAACCGCCGGGCGCGGTGGCTCAAGCCTGTAATCCCAGCAGGGAGGCCGAGGTGGGTGGATCACGAGGTCGAGAGATCGAGACCATCCTGGTCAACACGGTGAAACCCCGTCTCTACTAAAAATACAAAAAATTAGCTGGGCATGCTGGCACGTGCCTGTAATCCCAGCTACTCAGGAGGCTGAGGCAGGAGAATTGCCTGAACCCAGGAGGCGGAGGTTGCGGTGAGCCGAGATCGCGCCATTGCACTCCAGCCTGGGTAACAAGAGCGAAACTCCGTCTAAAAAAAACAAACCAAAAAAACCATACGTGCGCGCGCGCACACACACACACACACACACAAAAGAACCAAATTTCATAAGCCAAAGAAAAATGCAAATTCGTTTATAAGTTCTTCTTTCATGTAACTGTAGGACATAATGCAACTAAACTTCCTGCCACTATATAACACAAATCCCCTTTCCTCCTATTTCCAAGGACATGTTCCTCACTTCCTTTCAAGGCCTCACCAACAATGCTTTTTAATGTCTGTATTTCTACCAAACGTTTGTTTATGAAGATGTAGGTATGAAGTCCATGGTAGGTGTTCTCCACTGTGCTTCTCATTTCCTTTTAACCCCCAAGGGCAGTCTATTTCTATTAAGAGTCTGTTCAAGGCAATCTAGGCTTTTTCTTTTTTTTTTTTTTTGAGACGGAGTCTCTCGCTCTGTTTCCCAGGCTGGAGTGCAGTGGCATGATCTTCGCTCACTGCAACCTTTGCCTCCTGGGTTCAAGTGATTCGCCTGCCTCAGCCCCCCACGTAGCTGGGACGACAGGCACATGCCACCACGCCCAGGTAATTGTCATATTTTTAGTAAAGACGGGGTTTCACCATGTTGGCTAGGCTGGTCTCGAACTTCTGACCTCAGGTGATCCACCCACCTTGGCCTCCCAAAGTGCTGGGATTACAGGCGTTAGCCACCACGCTCAGTCAATCTAGGCTTTTTAGAAAGGATGTTCCTCGAAATTCTTCCATTCTCTACCTATTACCCTAAAGTCACTTTCACATTTTTAGGATTGGTTACAGCAGCACCCCATACTTCCTGGTATCAAATTCTCTTATCAGTTTGCTGAAATTACTTTAACAAATTACCACAAACTGCATGGCTTAAAACAACACAAACTTATTTTATCACGGTTTTGGAAGCCCAAAAGTTTGGTATCAGTTTCACTACGCTAAAATCAAGGAACTGGGCTTCCTTCCGGAGGCTGCCTGCATTTCTGGACTTGAGCCTCTTCCTCCATCTTCAGTGTACCTCATTCCAGCATCCCATCTCCTTTTTCTGCTTTTAACCTTCTTGCTAAATTCTAACATTTTTTGTTAGAATCCTTGTGATTAAAATGAGCCCACCCAGATAATCCAGGATTAACTCCCCATCATATCAGGGTACTTAATTTAATAATACCTACAAAGACCCTTTCTACCATGTAAGGTAACATAAATTCTGGGAAAAAGGTCACGGACATCTTTTAGGGACCATTTTTTTTCCATCTACCACAGCTGTAGAAGGTCTAAACATCACTATCAACCATCTTGGCACAATTAACTGAAATACGACATTTACAGAACATTACAACCAACAGTGCAATCATATTGTGTTATCCTACATTGTGTTGGCCTTACCAACTCATTCTTAGACAAACTCCATCTTAGCTTCTTCACTTACAGTTATTTTTCCACCATTAAGATATAGCTATAGTGTGTGGCTGGGGCAGGATGACACCAGGCACATCCAGCAATGCATTTGCTGATAAGATACCAAGTCAAGCAGTACCAGCAGACCCTGTTGCTAAATACCCAGAGTCCCATATCTATAAGTTGTATGTCTTTGGGGACAGCTTAAGCTGTTACTGCTTACTTCTTACATACTAGTTTATCTTTTAACTTTTTGTTTGCTCTGCTTCTGTGAACAAATTGCTTTAGCTTGGCTCCTTCTCCCTTTGCAAACTAGGGTGTAAGAAAACCAACCAACTCTTTCTTTGGGGCTGAGAGAATGTTGGGCATTAGCCATCTCTCAGTCGCCGGCAATAAGGGATTTGTAATTCAAATCTCAGAGTGTGGCACATTCCTTTTCTCACTTGGGTATAATAATATGCTGGCCTATAACCCCTATGAGAAATAAAGTATAGTGTACACTGTAGAACTCCAAACATTAAAAGGACAAGTGAATTTAATAATTAGATAACATGGACAAATTCCTCACAAAGATAACTTACAAAACGGATACAAGATGAAAAGGATGGCCCTATACCAACAAAAGAACTGGATTTTCAAGTGAAAACTTTGTTACAAAGAAAGCTCCTGACCAGATGGGATGGCTCATGCCTGTAATCCCAACACTTTAGGAGGCAGAGGTGGGCAGATCACCTGAAGCTGGGGCCTCAAGACCAGGCTGACCAACACAGAAAAACCCCGTTCTCTACTAAAAATACAGAATTAGCCAGGCTTGCTGGCGAATGCCTATAATCCCAGCTACTTGGGAGACTGAGAAAGGAGAATCACTGGAACACGGGAGGCAGGGAGGTGGAGGTGCGGTGAGCATCATTGCACTGCAGCCTGGGCCGTAAGAGTGAAACTCCGTCTCAAAAAAAAAAGTCTCCTTGCTCAGTTTTCAGAATCTAAGTGCCGAGTATACAATTCTTCACTATGAAATTATTTCAATTTTGCTATATACATTTGATACTTTCCATGATAAAACTGGGGTGGGGGAAGATAGTCTTGGCAATCACCAATTGTCTTTCTACTGCCTTTACTAAAGAAATACAAGTGGCATTTACTACCTAAGGGTGTCTTCTCCATAGACAGATTTATGGAAACAGAATTCTAAGTAAAAACTTACTTACCTTTACACCTTCTGTCCAACCTTGGAAATATATTCATTTCTTATAATCCAACCACTTATGTGAGTCAAATAGATTATTAAAATTCCTCTGTGTTTATACAAACCTTACAGGCTCCATTACTGGATAACATGTTTGGTTTCAAACAATTCCTTTGAGAGTATAATACTGTTTCAATACGTCTCTTAAGTTTTGCTATTTTTGCCTAGAAGAAAAAGAGAAAAAAGAATACTAAGCCATAGTACTACATATCATATTGTATAGAGATGGAGGGAAAGTTATTTGCCCGAGTTGTTCTGTAAGACTTGGGCATCTACCCAAGTAAGAAATCGTGATATATATGCAAAAGTCACATTTCATGCTTATGTGTGTGTGTGTGTGTGTGTGTGTGTGTGTATATATATATATATATATATCCCTTGTATATATATATATATATATATATACACACACACATACATACATACATATATATACATATATATATATATATTTTTTTTTCACTTTTTTTTTTTTTTTCAGAGATGGGATCTTGCGATGTTGCCCAGGCTGGAGTGCAGTGGCTATTCATAGGCACGATCCCACTACTGATCAGCACAGGAGTTTTGACCTGCTCGGTTTCTGACCTGGTCTGGTTTACCCCTCCTTAGGCAAGCTGGTGGTCCCCCGCTCCTAGGAGGTCACTGTTTTGATGCCGAACTTAGTGCGGACACCCTATTGGCATAGCGCACTACAGCCCAGAACTCCTGTGCTCAAGCGATCCTCTAGCCTCAGCCTCCTGAGTAGCTGGGACTACAGGCATACACCACTGCGCCTGGGCTATACATTTTCTTTTTGAGACAGAGTTTTCTCTTGTTTCCCAGGCTGGAGTGCAATGGCACCATCTCGGCTCACCGCAACCTCTGCCTCCCGTGTTCAAGCAATTCTCCTGTCTTAGCCTCCTGAGTAGCTAGGATTACAGGCACATGCCATGACATCCAGCGAATTTTGTATTTTTAGTAGAAAAAGGATTTTCACATTGGTAAGGCTGGTTTTGAGCTCCTGACCTCAGGAGATCTGCCTGCCTTGGCCTCCCAAAGTGCTGGGATTACAGGGGTCAGCCATTGTGCCTGGCCTATGCTTGTATAATGTTAAACATAAAGTAGATAAAAATCTCAAGCTTCTGCCAGGCACAGTTGAAAGCTTGAAACAGGTTGTACAAGTTCTAAGAAAGGATAATTTAGAAAGAAATGAAACTGCCTATATATTAACCTGTCAACTGACATACAACGCCTAAGTTATGAATCTCTCTCAATATTGCTAAGCTATAATAAATTACATTGTCTATGATATGTTCTTATGGCTAGTGGCCAGGAATCAGGTGTTTCTTCCCTTGTTTTCCTTTGATAATATGAAAAATATCAACAAATTCTGCTTTTTAAAAGGACTGAAATGGGCCAGGTGTGGTGACTCATGCTTGTAATCCTAGCACTTCGGGAGGCTGAGGGTAGAGGATCGTTTGAGCTCAAAAGTTTTGAGGGCAGCCTGGGCAACATGGTGAAACCTCATTTCTATGAAAAATACAGAAATTAGCATGGAGGTGTGTACCTGCAGTCCTAGCTACTCTGGAGACTGAGGTAGAAGGACTGCTTGAGCTTGGGAGGCAGAGGTTGCAGTGAGCCACCATACTCCAGCCTAGCCAACAGAGCAAGAACACCCCCCATTCCTCCAAAAATGACTCAAATGAAATGAAACTTACCAAGAGTCCATCCGCTATTCCTTCATGTTTATTTCTGCACTCTGTCTTTCCAATGCGTTGGTTCAATTCTTCCAGTTTCTTATCAAATAGTTTGTAATTTAAACTATACATTTCCTGTTGAATCAAATGTCTGACCTAGAATTTTAAAATAAAAACCACAATATTCCCTGTTTCAAATTTAAAAGCAATTTTACTTTCTACTTTAAAAAAATAGCCTTGCTCTTTTCTGGATTTACTGTAACCAATTAAATATACTTTATTTATATTTATATGTTTAGGCAACTGTACCAGTACGTTTTATAAAACTTCAATATTAAACTTAAAACACAATCAATATTTACATATACTGGACATGTTAGAAATTAATGCTAACCTTAGTTTCCTATAGTTTTACTTGAATTCCATACTATACATTACAGAAACAATTTAAAGACCATTTATATTTTTTTAATGACCATAATTGCAAGTTAGTATTCCACAAAAAGGAACCCTACTTATCTGAAAACCAGAGCCTGATGAAAATGGTAGGTTGGTCTATAGCAGATATAGAACATAAGTGTGAGACTTGACACTGACATTAGTAAGCTCTCTGACCCTTTAGTCAGTCACATTATTTCTGGGCTTCATTTTCCTTCTCCACAAATAAGTAGATTATATAATAAATGTTGAACAAGTGATACTCAAAGGATTTTTATAGAAACATAAGGTAATATGCAAAAAAAGAGCTCTATAAAATAAAAAACACTGAATTGGTATGAAAGAAATAAATATGCAAGATAATCACCATTACTTCCATAATTTTTTTAGGGGGTGGCTTTCTTATTGTTAAAACTGAAATAGTATCAGTCAGTTGGTTACCTTAGCTAGTTCGAGTATGGTGCTAAAATTCAAAGAAGCTGGCCGGGCTTTGGTGGCTCATGCCTGTAATTCCAGCACTTTGAGAGGCCAAAGCGAGTGAATCACAAGGTCAGGAGTTCAAGACCAGCCTGACCAACATGGTGAAACCCCATCTCTACTAAAAATACAAAAATTAGCCTGGCGTGGTGGCGCATTCCTATAATCCCAGCTACTCAAGGGGCTGAGGCAGGAGAATCGCTTCAACCTGGGAGGTGGAGGTTGCAGTGAGTGGAGATGGCACCAATGCACTCCAGCCAGGGCAAAAGAACAAGACTTTGTCTCCAAAAAAAAAAAAAAAAAAAAAAAAAAAGGGAGAAACATATCTATATGTTTTGAACGTGGAGACACTGTTTTGTACCGTGTTTCTCTAACACCAGGAATGACGAACAATCATGCGGGATGGTTGTTAAAAACACAAATTCCTAGGCCACATCCTGGATCCACCAAACAATATTTTGGAAAGGGGACTGGAAAGTTGTATAGTTACAGTTACTACAAATAATTTTTATCAGGTATATCTGAGAAAGCAGTAGCCTAAAACAACTGTCTTCATCTATTAGTAAGCTCAAGAAACTACAATTTAAACAAGTATTCCTGGTGGTTCAGATAGACACAGGTCCTTCAATTTGAACATTTTGGACTAAGTACCCACCATGGGGTAACTCCTCTTGATTAGACTATATACTGGATCTAATTTAATGGTAATGTTCCTCATACAGAAGACACAATAACTTCCATCAAATACCTCATAATTTTTTTTTTTTTTTTAACCACTGGAAATGTGTCCATTAATAGGGAAGCATATTGAAGTCCTGGCTTCAAAGTGAAGATAGCAACCAAACTAGCCTGAAGTTTGGAGAAGGTACAAACTTATCTCCAATCTCTGACAACTTTTTAAGACAGTGGGTAGGGTGAATAACTTAGACGGTAAAGGAAAAACCCTGCCTCTTCAGTAATTTAACTGGAACTAGGCCAAGATCCTTACGAAACTTCAAAAGGCTAAGAAACGATCACTCTAGGACTCTCAGTAGGGGAGAAAAATGTCAGAATGTGGGGGAGGACTATCTCATTGAGATTCAAGCAAGGTAAATACACAGATATGTTTTAGAGAGAGAACAGTCTGGACAAGAATTACAAGTGAGGAAAAGCTAGCTATTTAGAGATGGTTATGTACACATTAGAACTTACTTCTGGCCGAGCGCGGTGGCTCACACCTGTAATCCCAGCATTTTGGAAGGCCAAGGCAGGCAGATCACTTGAAGTCAGTAGTTCAAGACCAGCCTGGCCAACATGGTAAAACCTGTCTCAACTAAAAATACACACAAAAAATTAGCTGGGAGTGCTAGTGTACACCTGTAGTGCCAACTACTCAGGAGGTGGAAGTAGCAGTGAGCCTCGACTGTGCCACTGTACTCCAGTCTGGGCAACAGAGCAAGACTCTGTCTCAAAAAAGCAAAAAGAACTACTCACTTTAGCTACTAATCACTGGACCCAAGACCCAGCTGGAATCCCCAATCTTCTTCTTGAGTAACATGGTCCATAGGGCTAGATCCGTGCTTGCCATACTTCCACTACCCTTTCTCTGCCAACAATAAAACACTTATTTTTTTTATTGTGTCTCCTTTCGTCTTCTTAGAAGAAAAACAAAAGGTAGACAGGGGAAAACTGTTGACTCACCCTTTAAACTGGTTCTGCCTAAGTATTTCTGAAAGATTTCCCTTTATTAGGTGAAGAATATACATTCATAGCACATGTAACTATCTAATTGTAATGGTCTGTTTTAAAAAACGGCAGTAGTGTTTGTTTCTGAAACAGTTTGTAGGGTAGTTTAGACTGGGAAATTTTGGTCCATGACAGTTGAGAGACATTAATCGACTACGTAATGATTTACAGTAGTGGCATTGTAGCAGTAGTAAAATAGAAAAACACGGTCATCAAAACCCATCCTGAGTATAGCCATTTTACTACAACTGAAACACTACACTTCAACTAATAATTGATCAGACACATATTGAGACTGTAGTACAATGAGATAAAATGAAGTCAAAATGAAAGCAAGAAGACTATTTAATAATGCCATAAAGCAAAATGTCAGATAATGCCTCATATCTGTTTAAGTTTGGAAAATAGGGCAAGTAAACCTGAATGCAGCAGGACTTTGCAATGGACTTCCAGGTTGTTTGAGTCTTCTGGATTGTGCTGAGATCTACAAACAGATATAGCTGCAGATCTAAGAACCCCACAATTAGTATAAAAGAGATTGGATTGTTTAACAAAGCTCAAGGTCATCCAGTGTCTGACTCACCAACAAACCTGAGTGTAGTACTGACTGAAAGCCCATTCTCTTTCTGCAACAGGTCTCTACCTACACATGATCCCTAGGTAACTCTGCATGAGATCATTTTCAAGAAACCAGAGCTGTTTTGGTAGTGTAAATGATTTCTCTCTCCCCAATCTGTGATAATTTGGCTTTCACACACCAGCTTTGCATCAAGTGAGAGTCCTCTGTACTATGTCACTGTGGAGACCAGGTAATTAATTTACCATGTTTTACTAATCAAAAATAAAAGTTTTGTTTAAGCCCCAATATTTCACCTGTTCCAGGAATGCTGTTTGCCTTTCCAAATCCACACAAATATTTTCATTAATTTGTTCTGAAGTTTTCATGCGTTTAACATTTTCTTTGTTTTCTGAAAACATCCTCTTCTTTTGATAATGGCCTTGAGATGGAAAGATTATAAAGATATTTTAAAGAAGAAAATAGGTTCACCATGGCAGCTCATGTAATTCCAGCACTCTGGGAGGCTAAGGAGGGAGGACGGCTTGAGGCCAGGAGTTCAAGACCAGCCTGGGCAACATAGTGAAAATTCATCTCTATAAAAAATTTAAAATTAGCTGGGTATGGTGGGGTATCCCTGAAGTCCCAGCTACTTGGGAGGCTGAGGTGGGAGGATTGCTTGAGCCTGGGAGGCTGAGGTGGCAGTGAGCACCTCAACCACTGCACTCCAGCCTGGGTAACAAAGTGAGACCCTGTTTCGAGGAGGAAAAAAAGAGAAAGAAATAGAAATTCTCTATTTAGGGACCTTCTGAGCAAATGGAAAAACTAATTGCATAAAAACATATCCACCAATTATTCCTTTAAAAAAATGAGTTATCTGGGTAACAGCAGCGAAACTCCGTCTCAAAAAAAAAAAAAAGTTAAATTAGGTAGGGTTCTGGTCTCAGATACACTGTCCCTTCAATCTCACTTAATAATTCAATACACATATATCAACAAAAACTTAAAAATTATGGCATTTAATTCTGTTTATGGTTACTTAAGTGGTTCTACATTATTTTCTATAGAGATAATCTTTTTTTCCTTTTTTCTTTTTTTGAGACAGTCTCGCTCTTGTCACCTAGGCTGGAGTGAAGTGGCGCAATCTCGGCTCATGGCTCACTGCAACCTCTGTCCCCCGGGTTCAAGCAATTCTGTCTCAGCCTCCTGAGTAGCTGGGATTATAGGCACCCACCACCATGTTTGGCTAATTTTTTTTTGTATTTTTAGTAGAGATGGAGTTTTGCGATATTGGCCAGGCTGGTCCTCAACTACTGACCTCAGGTGATCCACCTGCCTAGGCCTCCCAAAGTGCTAAGATTACAGGCATGAGTCACCATGCCTGGCTGCTGCTTTTCGTTTTTTCAAAAGAGACAGGGTCTTGGATCTGTTGACCAGGCTGGTCTTGATGGCTCAAACGATCCTCTTGCCTTGGCCTCCCAAAGTGCTGTGATTATAGCCTTGAGCCACTGCACCCAGCCAGTCCTATTATACATTTTTTTTTTTTTTTTTTTTTGAGACGGAGTTTCGCTCTTGTTACCCAGGCTGGAGTGCAATGGTGCGATCTCGGCTCACCGCAACCTCCGCCTCCTGGGTTCAGGCAATTCTCCTGCCTCAGCCTCCTGAGTAGCTGGGATTACAGGCACGCACCACCATGCCCAGCTAGTTTTTTGTATTTTTCAGTAGAGACGGGGTTTCACCACGTTGACCAGGATGGTCTCGATCTCTCGATCTCGTGATCCACCCGCCTTGGCCTCCCAAAGTGCTGGGATTACAGGCTTGAGCCACCGCGCCCGGCCTATACATATTTTAAATAGATGATAATGTTATTATTTTAAAGCAATTTTTTTTTTTTTTTTTTGAGACGGAGTTTCGCTCTTGTTACCCAGGCTGGAGTGCAATGGCGCGATCTCGGCTCACCGCAGCCTCCGCCTCCTGGGTTCAGGCAATTCTCCTGCCTCAGCCTCCTGAGTAGCTGGGATTACAGGCACGTGCCACCATGCCCAGCTATTTTTTTTGTATTTTTTTTTTAGTAGAGACGGGGTTTCACCATGTTGACCAAGATGGTCTCGATCTCTTGACCTTGTGATCCACCCGCCTCGGCCTCCCAAAGTGCTGGGATTACAGGCTTGAGCCACCGCGCCCGGCCTATTTTTAAGCAATTTTAAATTCATCTTGTTAAATGATCATTCTGTAGCCTAGACAAGAACACAAAATTTATCCTCTGAAATCAGTTTTTTCTATTTCATCAATCAACGTGTAAATGCCCTACTTCAAATGAAATTCACTTTCGCTATTTTAATGATGTTATAACCCACGATCTTCATTTATTATTTGGGGTGCTTCTCTTTCTCTACACACACACATATACACACAGGTGTGCATATATTATCTATCACTTTATACTTAGCATGTGATTAACGGGTCAATTATATAAAAAGAAATAGAGTTGCCAACAATTTTTAAAACTCACTTTCAACCAGCCTCCTTCTTAATCGAATAAATAAAACTTCAAACTTCAGAAGACATGCATATGAAATGAACCAAATAATTGCTATAAAACACCTTTGGATTTTCTGTACTCAAGGAAAAGTGATTGATTCCTTCTCTGCAATAATTAACTACCCCTTTAATATGGTGCATACCTGTCCCCCACCTCACCAAGAACATTTCAGTAACAAGATACTGTGAAATAAATTATTATTTACCTTTTCCCTGTCTATATATACTCTACTTGTTTGTATATTTGAGACTTTAAAATACCTCAAAGAAAAGTGACTATTTTAGTTTCTCAAAAAGGTGCATAAATATATACTTACTGTTGTTATTAGTGTCAAGTGATGACTCCCACATTGAATCTGCACTTTCACAATTTGAAATGCTGGATGGAGAGGTTCTACTACACTCTTCAGTTTTCAAAATGTCATCAGCACATTTGTGAGAAGTAATTGAATTCACCAAGTTAGGTGTTTTCTCAATAAGCACAAAACCAGAGTCTTCTGAACATAAAATGTTGTCACTTTGCTTTTTATCATGTGATTCTGAATTGGAGTTTGTTTCTAAATGGAAAACTATCTGGTCAGTTCTCTTATCATCCACGGGAATGGTTACTGTAGTCTCTGGCAGCTGAACAGTTCCATTCAATACACTGCGTGGATGGCAAGTGGACTTCAGACTACAAGCCCCTTCATGCTCAAAAAGGGATCCTGTAACATTTGTCTGATATTCAGAATGGTTTTCAGAAGTGTTCAGTGAATCTTTTGCCTCTTCTGTAAAGACTCTGCTGGGGGAATCTGTTGTTTTACTTGGATTTTGGTCTGAACAAACAACTTGTTTCAATTTTGTTTCTGAATGAATGATTTCTTCTACTGGTTTTATGCAATTCTGAGAGAATACTTTACTTTCCTCTGATACTGAATTTTTATTAGAGTCCGATGAGGATGTAACATTTTCAGAATGTCCACATTTGCCAGTTATGACACTAGGATTTAAACTCCGATTACCACTCAGAACACTACTTCCAATTGCTGCTGTTTTCAGTGCTTTGACATTCCTTGACTTATTCAGCATCTCTACTTGCTTCCGGCAACTTTGAGGCATTGTTTTTTTGGCTTTTAATATCTTCCGTTTACTTCTATCTGGACTTGCCATCTCTCATATCCTGGAATTTAAGACATCATATTTAAATGCATTTCGCTAGTGAATAAAAGTTATTTACTACTGAATTAAAGTTATTTGCAATATTAAAATAACATTGATACTATCTCTCCAGATTTAAATAATCATTTTACTGGAAATTATATCCATTTTCATGACACGGAAAACACAGAAATCATTTGTATTGTTTCTATAAATTTAAACTACATAAATTCAAAATCTATATTGCTAGTAAGCCTTTACTTGACACTATGTCTGATAGTTTTATCTAGCCACTTCTTGTTATATCACCTCAGTGCTATAACCATTCACTTTTTATTTATCCATCCAGGTAAGTCATGGTTTAAATAACCTAAAGATTAAATTGCACTTATTCATAAAACCAAAAAAAAATGCTTTGTTTAAAACATTCCATTTTCTATACATAGCAGCATCTGTTTCAGTTTTCCTAATGTTCAAGTTTCTAAAATAAATGTGGCTGGGTGCAATGGCTCATGCCTCTAATTGCCTCTAGGAGGCAGAGGTGGGAGGATCATTTGAGGTCAGGAATTCGAGACCAGCCTGGCCAACATGGTGAAACCCTGTCTCTATTAAAAATACAAAAATTAGCCAGGCGTGGTGGTGCATGCCTATAATTCCAGGTTCTTGTGAGGCTGAGGCAGGTGAATTGCTGAACCCAGGAGGCAGGGGTTGCAGTGAGCAAAGACTGCCCCTTTGCACTCCAACCTAGTCTCCAGAGCAAGACTCCACCTCTAAAATAAAACCAAAACCCAAAAAACAAAAACCTGATATGTACACTAAATAAATCCAGAAAAACAGCAGAACACTCTTCATTAATTAAGATCCTAACATGCCTATACAATTCTATTTTTCCTATAGGACTGTGTATTATTTGATTGTCTCTTCATGAATACAATTTTTGTGTTATTTTCCAGAGAGAGTGAACAAATCAAATCTTTCCTCTAGCCTGGTATTTGCTAAAACTGATAATCATAATGCATAAAACTAGCAGCTTTGCCTGAAGTCACTGCTACAGTTTTGTGTCCTACAAATAAAAACATTCTTATATTATTTTAAAGGCAGAATTCAATAAGGTGTGGCACATGCCTGTGGTTCCTGCTACTCAGAGGGCTGAGGCAGGAGGTTCACTTGAGCCCAGGAATTGACACTGCTGTGATCTGTGATTGCACCACTGCACTCCAGCCTGGGTGACAAAGAGAGACCCTGTCTCAAGGAAGAAAAAAAAAAAAAAAAGCAGATCCCTATCAGAAAGAAGAAAACAAATACATAGTGATTTTATAACTGAATGTGACATTTTATTATTTCTGATGAGAGGAAAGTGCTGTTTTGACTGGAAATTCATGAAAACTAAATCCTATACTTAAAATTTTAAACATCAGATAATTGGGAATTTTTTCCTGATTACCTTCCGGTTTCATAAATTTCCGACTCTGGCTTCTCTAATACTCATGTATTCCAGGTGCCAAGCACTAGAGATCACATTCTCAACACAATCAGTTGATAGGCTGTAATTACCTACATCCAGAAATGACTTCCAATCACAAACACAACCCAGTAAACCCATACAAATCCCCCAATAATGAAATGCCTAAAACCACTCTACTGTCAGCTGACACAAAGAAGAAATCAAGGTGAAGAGAGACAGGAGTCTTAAATGACTATAATTAAAATAGCTTACTATTTTAAATCTGATGAAAATGTCCAACCATGTGAACATATTATTACTACTGTCCTCCTAAGGGCCTTTGGAAAAGGCCCAAACTAGGAAAAAGTGCTGAAATTTAAGCTTTGGAGTAAAAAAAAATGCCTCTACATTTGACGCATACAAAAGACATGTATATGTGTTAATTACAAAGTATAACAAAGTGAACATCTTTGAACCACCCACAACAAGTAGAATACGGTAACTTGTATTTACTTGTGTTTCTCCAAACCACATCAGGATGGAGAAGATGTGCCCCATGCACCTCTTCTCCATCCTGATGTATCCTAAATTTAGTTTATAATTCTATTATTTTTTTGTGATTTCATCATAAATATTATATGTAAACAAATACACTGTTTACTTTTGTTGTTGAGCAAACTAGCTAATACTTGTCTTAGCTATGTAGAAAATTCAACTGTGTGCCTGTGTGTAGCAATAATTCATATTCCTCTTTGTATTATAATAATTCATTGGGTAGATATACCAAAATTTGTTTATTATCTGATCATCTGTGAAAGATCTTTGGGTCACCTCCAGTTCCTTTTTTTTTCTGGACACAGGGTCTCAGTGGTCTGTTATCCAGGCTGGGGTGCAGCATGGGTCATGGCAGCCTCAACCTCCCAGCCTCAAGCAATCCTCCCACTTCAGCCTCCTAAGAGGCTGGGATTACAGGCATGCACCACCACACCTGGCTAATTTTTAATAAAAAAATTTTGGAGACACCAGGTCTTACTATGCTGCCCAGGTTAGTTTGAAACTCCTAGCCTCAAGTGATCCTCCTGTCTCAGCCTCCCAAAGTGCTGGGATTACATCTTCAGTTCTTCTTGATGTTCTGACACAACAATGCTATTTTGAACATTTCTGTCTCAAGGTGCCTGTGTGTAAGCATCTCCTGAGTGCCTTTCTGGATACTGATATGGGATCCATGTTCAACTTTCCAGGAAAACCAAATTACTTTCTGAAATAGTTTTACCAGTTTGCACCTACATAGTCAATGTATAAGAGTTACCACTAAGCCACATCCTCTTGAACCCTTGGTATTGCCAGATGTGATTTTGGCCAATCTACTTGGATAAAGAGTTAGATTTCATGTCTTAATTTGCCTTTCCCTAATTACTAGCGTCTTTTCATATGTTAATTAGGTATGTTTACTTGTCTGTAAAAATTTCTGGTTATTTCCTGCTCGTAACTTCTTAGGTTGTCTTTCCTCTTTCATTTTCAAGACATACTTAACATATAAACCATATTCCGGCCAGGGGTGATGGCTCACACCTGTAATCCCAGCACCTTGGGAGGCTGAGGTGGGTGATCACCTGAGGTCAGGAGTTCGAGACTACCCTGGCCAACGTGGCCAAAATCCCATCTCTACTAAAACTATAAAAATTTGCTGGGCGTGGTAGCACATGCCTGTAATCCCAGCTACTCAGAAGGCTGAAGCAAGAGAATCGCTTGAACCCAGGAGGTGAAGGTTGCAATGGGCCAAGATCATGCCACTGCACTCTAGCCTGGATGAAAAACTGAGACTCTGTCTTAAAAAAAAAAAAAAAAAAGACCCAGTGCAGTGGCTCATGCCTGTAATCTCAGCAGTTTGGGAGGCCAAGGTAGGCGGATCACGAGGTCAGGAGTTCGAGACCAACCTGGCCAATACGGTGAAATCCCATCTCTACCAAACATACAAAAATTAGCCATGCGTGGTGGCACGTGCCTGTAGTCTCAGCTACTTGGGAGGCTGAGGTTGCAGTTAGCCAAGATCTGTCCCACTGCACTCTAGCCTGGGCAACAGAGCAAGATTCCATAAACAAAACAAAACAAAACAAAACAAAAACACCATATTCCTTTGTCAGTGCTTTGTTATATGAGTTACAGGTGTCTTATTAGGCTCTAATTTTAATATAGTCAAATTAAACAATTATTTTTCTTTTATGGTTAAAGTTTGATCTCTCTTCTTTGTGAAATCCTTCCCTACCTCATGATGATGTATGAAATAGTAAAGGCTACTGGTGGTAAAGAAGTCTTTCACTGATGTAAGTTACTGAAGGACATCGTGCTATACCATGGCTGTGCAATTATTACAGTACATGGAAGTAATGCAGAGAGTCAGCTTAAAGTGAACTGTTAAAGTTCATAAAAAACATGAAGTAAATGGTCATTAAAATTACACACTTCATAACTGGTTAAACTTACAGGACTGAGGAGAGGTATTTCACCCTGAAAACCACTGCATGAGAATGCTTAGGGGAGATAAGTAAAACTGCCAATAAAAGGTACAAGTTACATATTGTTAACTGCATAGTTTGCTGTCATAGAACCCGTTCATTCAAGCTGAATTCCTTGCTAAGAGAATAAAAAACAATGACCGAAACTAATAGGGGAACCCTACCATCACCAGAACTCCTCTCTTCAGCCAATTTGAATTCTTTGCTGTCATATAAGCCACAACTCACAGATCTTGAGATGGTAATACTGTCCTGTAACACATGCTGCAAAAAATAAATTATACTGCCCTTTGGTGGAAAACTTCCAGGCTGAACGTTTAGTAGGTGCTGGTGAGTGGGGAATGAGTGGCCGAAAGTACTGCATTCTTCGCCAGGTCCTCTAAAGAGAGCAATCACTACACTTATGGCTGGGATTTTGCGTTTAGTTGCTCAGAGGCCCCCAGGCAGACTACAGACCGTGACAAAAGGTGTGGAGTCTCTTATTTGTACAGATTGGATTCGTCACAAATTCACCAAATCAAGAATTCCAGATAAAGTGTTTCAGGCCTCACCTGAAGATCATGAAAAATATGGTGGGGATCCACAGAACCCTCATAAACTGCATATTGTTACCAGAATAAAAAGTACAAGAAGACGTCCATATTGGGAAAAAGATACAATAAAGATGCTTAAATTAGAAAAAGCACATACCCCTCAAGTTCACAAGAATATCCCTTCAGTGAATGCAAAATTGAAAGTGGTTAAGCATTTGATAAGAATCAAGCCCTTGAAGTTGCCACAAGGACTTCCAACAGAGGAGAACATGTCTAACACGTGCCTCAAAAGCACTGGGGAATTAGTAGTGCAGTGGCATCTGAAACCTGTGGAGCAGAAAGCAGATGAGGCCTAGTGACCAAGCAGCTTCCAGTTGTAAAATCCAAATTGTTTTTATTTAAAGATAGTGAGAAAGTCTTTTCATTAAAATATGTTTTAAAAACCATTAAATAAATAAATAAATAAATAAATTATACTTTCTCAAGTTTGAAAGATCTGTCTTTTACAATTTAAGTCCTTAATCCATTTAGACTTTATTTTAGCATATGGAAAAGAGGAAAGGACCTATTTTCATTTTTCCCTCAGATACATAATTGCTTGGTGGTATCCTCACTGTTAATTTCGTTTTGAAATCATAAAACTATCTAATCTGTACACACGTGGCAGTGTGATTTGCTGCTTTCCTCCCCCTCACCTATATCTGGCATTTCTCCCCGTGCCATCCCCCCACAACTCCCCACCCCCCGCTGTCCCTCCCCTATTTCCCTCCAACAGACCCCAGTGTATAGTGCTCCCTCCCTGTGTCCATGTGTTCTCATTGTTCAACACCCGCCTATGAGTGAGAACATGTGGTATTTGATTTTCTGCTCCTGTGTTAGTTTGATGAGAATGATGCCTTCCAGGTTAATCCATGTCCCTACAAAGGACACGAACTCATCGTTTTTGATGGCTACGTAATATTCCATGGTGTATATGTGCCACATTTTCCCTGTCCAGTCTATCATCGATGGGCATTTGGGTTGGTTCCAAGACTTTGCTATTGTAAACAGTGCTGCAGTGAACATCCATGTGCATGTGTCCTTACAGTAGAACGATTTATAATACTTTGGATATATACCCAGTAATGGGATTGCTGGGTCAAATGGAATTTCTATTTCTAGGTCCTTGAAAAATGGCCACACTGGATTAAAGACTTAAACATAAGACCCAACACCATAAAAACCCTAGAAGAAAATCTAGGCAAAACCATTCAGGACATAGGTGTAGGCAGGGACTTCATGATCAAAACACCAAAAGCATTGGCAACAAAAGCCAAAATAGACAAATGGGACCTAATAAAACTCCACAGCTTCTGCACAGCAAAAGAAACAGTCATTAGAGTGAATCGGCAACCAACAGAATGGGAAAAAATTTTTGCAGTTTACCCATCAGACAAAGGGCTGATACCCAGAATTTACAAAGAACTAAAACAGATTTACAAGAAAAAAAAACAAACAAGCCCATTCAAAAGTAGGGAAAGGATATGAACAGACACTTTACAAAAGAAGACATACATGAGGCCAACATATGAAAAAACGCTCATCATAACTAGTCATTAGAGAAATGCAAATCAAAACTACATTGAGATACCATCTCATGCCAGTTAGAATAGCGATGATTAAAAAATCTAGAGACAACAGATACTGGAGAGGATGTGGAGAAATGTGAACACTTTTACACTGTTGGTGGGAGTGTAAATTAGTTCAACCATTGTGGAAGACAGTGTGGAGAGTTCCAATTTTAACACCTTTTCACCAACACTTCTTAACTGTTTGTCTTAGTATACTCATCCTGTTGCAAGTGATGTGGTGCCTCATTGTCATTTTGATTTGCATTTACCTGATGGCTAATGATGTTGACCATCTTTTCATGTGCTTCTTGGAAGCTTGTGTATCTCCTTTGGATAAATGACTATGCAGATTCTTTGAGAATTTATAAACTATTATTTGCCTTTTTATTACTGGTCTGTAAGAATTCTTAATATAGTCTAGATTAAATCCTTTATAAGATAATATCTACAAGCTTTCCCTTGTATTATATGAATTGTCTTTTCTATTCCTTGATGGTATGCTTCAAAAACAGTTTAAAATTTTCATAAAGCTTAATTTCTAAAGATTTAAAAACACATTTACTTGTGTTTTTAGCAAAGACATCACTGCCTAATCCAAGGTCCTAAGAATTTTAAAGTTTTATAAGTGCTTATATTTAGGTTTTGGATCCATTTTCAGTTAAGTTTTGCATATGGTGAGAGATAAAGGTCTCTATGTATTCTTTTGATGTGGAAATCCAATTGTTCCAGCATGATTTTAAAATGTCATTACTTCCCTTATTGATGTTTTTTTATGACACCCTCATAAAAAACAAATTGACTTTAAATGAGAAGGTATTATTTCTGGGTTCACAATTCTATTCCATTTGTGTATAAGTCTGTACCACACTATCTTGATTACTGTCATTTGCGAGAGAAGTTTGGAATTCAGGATGTTTAAGTCCTTCAACTTTGTTCTTCTTGGTAAATACTGTTTTGGCTACTGTGGATCACCTGAATTTCCGTATGAATTTTAGGATCAGATTCTCAATTTCTGTCTAGTATGAGTGTAGTGTTGTTCCCTGCTCTTATTGTACAGCTGTCTATCTCTTTAGCTATTGTTATATTTAAGGAATTTGGGTAGCCCAGTGTTGAGTGCATGCATATTTAGGATTGTTATATCCTCTTGTTGAACTAATCCCTTTATTACTAAATAATGATCATGTTTGTCTTTCTTTACTCCTTTTGATTTAAAGCTGATTGTGTGTGAGATATGCATAGCTGCTCCTGTTCAGTTTTGGTTTCCAACGCCCAGTGTATCTTTTTCCACCCTTTTACCTTCAGTCTAAACGTGTGTCCGGTAAGCAGCATATACTTGGTTGATGGGTTTTAAAAATCTGTTCCATCAATCTGTCTTTTAAGTGAAGCATGAGCAGATTAATGCTCATGTTCAGTGTTAACACTGCTATCAGAGGTTTTGTTCCTCTCACATTGTTGATTATTACCTAGTTTTATAAATCTTTCCTTCTTTTCCTCTGTCTTTGTGGTTTAGTGGAATTATATTGTGTTGCCATTTGATTCCTTTCTCTTCTGCCTTTATGTGATTATTTTACATGATCTCCGATTCTTATATTTCCATGAGGTTGTTTTTTCTTTTTCAGTTATTTCCAGTTTTCCTTTAATTTATAACTTTGGTGGGTATACACTAGGTGTATGAAATTATGGGGTACATAAGATACTATGATACAGAAATGCAATGCATAATAATCACATCTTGGTAAATGGGGTATCCATCCTCTCAAGCATTTATCCTTTGTATGACAAACAATCCAGTTACAGTCTTTTAGTTATTTTTGAATGTACAACTAAATTACTGATGACTATAGTCAGCCAGCTGTGCAACTGAATGCTAGGTTACCAGCTCTTATTCATTCTAACTCCTTTTTTTTTTTTTTTGAGACAGAGCCTCACTCTGTCACCCATGCTAGAGTTCCGTGGCACGATTTTGGCTCACTGCAACTTCTGCCTACTGGATACATGTGATTTTGCTGCTTCAGCCTCCTGACTAGCTGGGATTACAGGTGCCCACCACCACCATTCCAGGCTAACTTTTGCATTTTTTAGTAGAGAGGCAGTTTCGCCATGTTGGTCAAGCTGGTCTCAAATTCCTGGCCTCTGGTCATCTATCCGGTTGGCCTCCCAAAGTTCTGGTATTACAGGTGTGAGCCCCTGTGCCTGGCCCATTCTAATTACTTTTTATATCCATTAATCATTCCCATCTTCCTCCCCAACACCAAATACCTTTCCCAGCCTCTGGAAACCATCCTTCTACTCTCACCAGAAATTCAAATGTTTTAATTTTTATCACCCACAAATAAGTGAGAACTTGTGTGTCTTTCTGTGCCTGGCTTATTACACTGAAGATAACGACCTCTAGGTCTATCCACGTTGTTACAAATGACAGATCTTAGTCTTTTTCATGGTTGAATAGTATTCTATTGTATACATGTATATTTTCTTTATCCATTCATCTGCTGATGAGCACTTAGGTTGTTTCCAAGTCCTGGCTATAGTGAAAAGTCCTGCAATAAACATGAAATTACAGATATCCTTTTGATATACTGATTTCCTTTCATTTGGGTATATATTCAGCAGCAGAATTGCTGGACTGCAGGGGTAGCTCTATTTTTAGTTTTTTTAAGGAACTTCCAAACTGTTCACCCTACTAATTGTACAAATTTACATTCCCACCAACAATGTACAAGGATTCCCTTTTCTATACATCCTCATCAGCATTTCATATTACCTGTCTTTTGAATAAAAGCTATTTTAAGTGAGGTGAGATGATATCTCACTGTAGCCCTGATTTGCATTTGGCTGATGATCAATGATATCAGGCAGCTTTTCACATGCCTGTTTTCCATTTGTATCTTTCCTTTTGAGAAATGTTTATTCAGGTATTACCATTTTGTAATTGGATGATTAGATTCTTTCCTACAGAATTGTATGAGCTCCTTATATTCTGATTATTTATGCCATGTCGAACATGTAGTTTGCAAATATTTTCTCCCATTCTGTGCCTTGTCTCTTTGTAGATTGTTTCCTTCGCTGTGCAGAAGATCTTTAACTTGAAGTGATCCAATCTGTCCATTTATCATTTGGCTACCAATGCTTATACATATTTTTTTTTTTGCCCAGAACAATGTCCTAGAGAGTTTCCACAATGATTTCTTCCAGTAGTTACAGAGTTTGGGGATCTCAGATGTAAGTCTTTAATCTATTTTGACTTTTTATATACAGTGAGAGAGATCTAATTTTATTCTTTGGTATGTGAATATCCAGTTTTCCCAGTGCCATTTATTGAAGACTGTTTTCTTGCAAATATTTGTTCTTGGCACCTTTGTCAAACATGAGTTCACTTATGATAGGTATATGAATTTGTTTCTGGGAAATCAATTCTGTTCTACTGTTCTGCCTGTTTTGATGCTAGTATCATGCTGTTTTGGTTACTATAGCTCTGTAGTATTTAACTTGAAGTAAGGTAATGTGATTCCTCCAGTTTTGTTCTTTTTGCTCAGAACAGTGTTAGCTATTCTTGGTCTTCTGTGGTTGCATACTAATTTTAGGATTGTTTTGTCTATTTCTGTGAAGAATGCCATTGATATTTTGATAGGGACTGCATTGAATATGCAGAAGGCTTTAAGTAGTAGAAAGATTTTTTTTGTGTCCTCTCCAAATTTTTTCATTGGTGTGTTTTTTTCTCTCTCTCTCTCTCTGAGACGGAGTCTTGATCTGTCACTCAGGCCAGAGTCTAGAGTGCAGTGGCATAATCTTGGCTCAAAGCAACCTCCGCCTCACAGGTTCAAGCCATTCTTCTG